AACCATTTCTTAACACACATTTTACGGGTATTTTCTGCAGACAGGCAAAAAATTCCTTGGCGAAGGGAATCCATTAGCCAAAAAATTACTTGCATATTTTCTGATACATTAAATATCGCCCATACATTCTTTCCTGCGTCCACTTCCGCATCGCATTTTACCCTGAAGATGAATGAGAGAATCCAGTCTCGTCGCCCATAAGTCAATATTTCTGGCAAATCTTGTGAAACAAAACAGCAATTTTCGGCCCATTATCTTGTCCAATTGACTCTATGTGATAAATTGAGCCGGAGGGACAGTCCACTGGGGGTCTCTCTTCCTTCTCCACCTCCTTCTGCTTTGTGGATTTTTCTTTTCCCTGCGCCGCAGAAGAAGTAAGAAAAAAAACACCCAAAAAGCATACATTTGGATGAAATTCCTCAATGGCACCAGACAAAGTCGTGACATGCGAAAAATGACAGCCGGACGATGTTACGGCCGAGGCTGAAGGAATCATCAGCTCTTCATCTTCTCCAGCTTGACTTTTGGGCCATCATTCTCACTCTGTTATTTGTTTTCGTCAGCAATATTACGACAGGAGGATCAGATCTCTATTAATCTTATATCCCTGCTCGTGAGCATGGAAATATCGAGAGATGGATCTCGCCTTTGAAGTACAAATTTCAGTTGATCAACGACCACAATCGAGGGTGAATAATTCCCTCCTTGATCCCTCAGCTCTCGCCTTAATTGGTCAGCTGTGTTTGGCCTACGATGGTATTCAAATGGCCTCCCTAATTATTAATTAATACACACGAGCACCACCCAGAGAGTGAATTTTTATGACCATTCGTTGCTCGCTGATGACTTTTCACTCTCCTCCCTTTTTCTCTACCCTCCGAACATGAATTATCACGGAATTGCTGGAATGTTTTCTACCTCTTGGACTACATTTCCAATTCTATACCATCGAGGATCATCGTGCATGTTTTCGTAATTCCCTCCACCATCCCGTCGTCTTCGCTGGGGAGGATGCCACTGCATTGGTCACCGGCAAACATTTTTGTATCGTGAAAAATTACCACCGAAAGAATGCGCTCGAGTGAAGCGAAGAAACCCAGCCCATTAATAGAGTGTTTATGGCCATAAGTTCTCTCGCACAGCAATTCGTGAATTGGCTCCTTCTTTTCCTCCTCACCTTCCAACACGTCCACTCTTCCTTTCCACCTCCCTCATTTTTCTTCGCGGTCTAAATGTTACCTGGAGAGCACGTCGTCGTCATCGTCGTCGTCGTCATAATTATTAATTGTAAGAGGCGCCTTCTGCGCGGCCGGAGGCAAAGTGTACCAAAAAGAAGTGAATTGGATAATGATGACCAATTGGGAAAGAGTTTGTAGCTGAGAAGATTGGTGAGGTTTACTTCTCTGTGCTCCAGGGGCGAACAACTCCACGAACAAGTGCTCCACAATCTCGCTATGCAAACACACTTATCGCGGTCAGCATTGATTGGAAATTTACAACAAAATAATTGTTTTCAAATTTTCAATTTCAAGATTTTACTGATTCTCGCATTTTTGCAATTTAACATCTTGAAGTAGGAAAAAGTCGGGAAGAAAGTGTCTTACTTTCGCATAATTATCATCCTCTGGGGAGAGGCGGGAAAAAAAGGTTGAGAGAAAGATCGCACGAGGGAAAAAAGAGTTGTGCTGGACCTCCAGGATGGATGTATTTAACAATTAATTGAATGTCTGCTGTTTTTCTGCTCACTGGCAAACACTGACCAATTTGATGAAGGCTCTCTCTCTCTCTTCATCTCTGATGAGGTGCAAATCTGACAATATACCCAAAGGAGGGAGAATGACGAAGATTAGGGAATCTCTGAGGCGCCTCTGGATTGCCCAGAGACTGCCAATCTTCTCGAGTGATTTGCGGAGCCCCACGAACTGGAGATGGAATTCCAAGTTGAAAATCACACTGGAAGGTGGAAGCGCAAGGCAGGAGAAGGCTGAACAATGCGAATGGGAGAAGATGAGGAAAAGACGTTGGGCAAAATGATAATTGGATGTTTGTTTTTCCACCGTGCGTATACAAAAATAATAATAAGCAAGATGATGTGTGGTGATCTATAATTACCCCCTTGATGCATGGAGCAGTTGTAATCTGTGAGTCTCTCTTCCACCATCCTTCCAACCTCATCCTCACCTTTTTCGCATGCTGTCTTCGAGGCGCCCCAATGCTAAATATCTCTTTTGTACCTGGGCGAGTCTTGGCTCTTCATCGTGTGTGTCTAATTGTCCGCGAAGAATGATAAATGTGTGGATATTGGCACTCGAGACCGGTTGCCCCGAACCCGCCACCAGCCATTTATCATCTGCAAATTAACAATTTTCTCCATTTCCACCAAGCGCTATCGTGCCTTGCCCACTCGCGCTCCTGCCCAATTTCCGGACGTCCATTTCCCAAAGATGAACATGTTACTCTCAATCCCACATGACATCCTCTTGAGCATCGCTTGTCCTCTGCAGAGTGTCAGAAATGGCAATAAATCACAATCCACCACTCCCAACTGGATCCTGTTTCTCACCACTTTGCATCCTTCTGACCATAATGACACATTAATATTCGAAATGTTTACACTCATTTCTCCCTTCGTAACACATTTATGACGTAAAATTATCCAATTTGGTGCGAGAAGACCAAATAATATGTGAAAATTTTTCCAGCCAACCCCTCAATTTAGCAATGCATTGATGAATTTTTTACTGGCCACTTCATTTTACTAAATGACAAACTGAAAGTCGATAAATATTAATGGGATAAGTTCCATGCTGGAAAAACACACCATCGGGATCGTTATAGGGAAAAAAGTAAAGATTGAAATTGCGGTAATATGCAGTTTTGGTGTAATGAAAAATTTTATGCCATCCTCATTTTTTGCCCAATAAGACATTTATGAAGGAAAAAATTGAAAATATTTATGCAAGTCATTTATAGTTCTTGAGCTGCGAGAGGTCTTGCAATATGTAATATTGTTCATTGCGAATATGTAGTTAATATTCGTATATCGCGGAAAATTACGGCATTGTTGATTGATGTTTTCTGGAATTTTCTCTGAGTTAATGATAAGTTGTGAAAGAAATCGATTAAGTGGAAAAATTTTCTAAAAAGCAAATATTTGAAATTTCATTTAACCACAAGTTTAACCATTAGTATTCTCAGAGCAGAATTTGCGCGATCTTTTGTGAATTGATTCATCTTCATTGGAGCAGGAATTTCATTTTGACATCTTCCGTGCACTTTTTTCCCGAAGAGCCCTTGCAGATGTGAGAGAATGAAAGGGAAGATAAACAAATAGACGCGTGTAATCTCTTTTTCCCTGACTCGGAGGGAAACAAGAGTCGCAGAGAGGAGAATAATATTTATTCAATTTTATCAGAAAGTCAAATCAAGTCCCAGAACTGGTGAAATTTCTGTCACTTTTGCATCTGAGATGAGTCTTGTTAAGCGTTTCGTGTGACACCAGAGATTGACTTTGATGGGCGAGTGTCGGATTTCTCGGTGGTTTCACTCCTCCGCAGGTCTCTCTGGGCTGTTTACATCACCAGAAGCATCGCAAGCAAACTCCTTCGCTCGGCTCACCAACGAGGTTTTGCCTCTGATGACTGTGGAAAATCAGTAAAGCAAGAAATTGTCGAAAAGCCATTAACGCTGGGTAAACATTTAATCCTTTTCACACAGAGATTTCACACTCTGTGCCGGGATGATGCGCGAGGAATTGCCGGTGTTTGTCCCTCGTACAGAATTACCATTGCCGCGAGATGGACAAATAGGAATATGGAGTGTGAACGCGGAGAGATATCTTCTTACCTGCATGATCTCGGCTGTAATGTGCTAAGATGGGGGCGCGAGGAGGAGTCGCGTCAAATGTAAATTTATTCAAAAAATTACTGAGAAAACAAGTTCTTCCCTTCATGGATGACCGTATATGTACCGAAATGAAGACAAACAGAAGGTGAATAATGGGCCGCAGTGGCCATTGCAGATGCACTTCTGACCATCATTTAATTGATTGTATAAACAGGGGAAATTTCACTTTTTACCACGCGTTGAATACATGAAAATTTTTCATAATATTTTCTCCCCTCACAATTAAGACTTGTGGTGATATTGAAAAGTGATTTCCTTGAGCACCCCAAAACATCTGCTGAGACATCACCTTTGCCAATATTCCACTTTTATTACCAAGATATAATTTCAATTTGTGCTTCTCCCTGGTTCAGACGATAACCTGAACCCATATTTCCATTAATTATTTCACCTGAGAACAACAAATTGTTCTTTTTTGTTGCAATTCAACACGACATCGCTTTTCAATAAGATATTATACTGATATAATTTAATCTTCACATGTTTATTAATATGAAACAATATTACACGTGTAAAGTTTTTCAGGGATATTTGTGAGTTTTTTGTACATTAATTTAAGCTTTTCATAGAACCCGATAAGCAGAGGAGTGAGTCAAGTGCTCAGTGCGAAAGTGTTTAAGGATGTCTTCACAGTAGGAGGGAATTCTTTTGGGTGTTTAACTTGTAGGCAATTAAGATGGACAACACACGAGTGAAACTCATGGGTGAGACAAAGGAAGAAGCTTGCCAGTGACAAAAATCTCACGAAGACACATACTTGACCCTTGCCTGTAAATTACCTTTTGTGTCTTTTAATATTTGCAGAATCGTTGAATACGCAAAAATCACTTAAAATGCAGTACTTTTTCTGCTTTTTCTGCACACCTCAATGGGACTTTCGTGTGACTCATATGGAATTCTTGCATAAAATACCAATATTCCACTGGCGAAACTTTTCCTTTGTCGAGCAATTCCGCCTGAAGAGGCACATTTGGCTCTTTTTCTGTCGCGCACGGACAGGAAGAGGGAAGTTGTTAAGATCATTTCTATGATAATGCCTTTTCTACAGCGGCGAACTCAATTTCGGCGGACTAAACTTTCTCTTCTCTCCACAGGCGAATGTTTCCTTCGGTTAGAGTGACGCTGGCCGGACTCGAGGAGGACGCCAGCTACTGCCTAATGCTGGAGATGGTTCCAATTGGCGACTGTCGGTACAAATTCAGCGGATCTCAGTGGGTTCCGGCCGGTGGTGCTGAGCCACAGAGTCCGCAGCGAATGTACCTTCATCCTGACAGTCCTGCGCTCGGCTCGCACTGGAACTCACAGCCGGTGTCCTTCAGCAAAGTGAAACTAACCAACAATACTCTCGACAGCAATGGACATGTAAGTACCAGCGATTAAGTACTATAGCTAATAGAGTCTTTAGATTTCTCATGTGCTTTGTTGGTGCTCCAGTTGGAACAATGCACCACTGTCTTCGCTCACAATTGGCCAACTTGTCGTCGAAGAATTTGCGTGTCACTGTCTATTGGATTGCTTGAAATGTACCATATATATGTCCACTTGATATCTCTCAACTAGATACTGCACATATATAACACAATGGTGGAATTTAAATGGAGAGTACTTTTCTCGTTATGCTCAAGAGCCATATAGTTATTTAGGACTCCATTTCTTTGGCATACGCGCCATTTGAAAGAGATTTTATCAAATATACTCCACGAGAAGAGTTAATTTTCAAAATTAGGCAATTTTTTTTTGTTGTATTCCTGCTCATTAAGTTAATGAACCCTTCGTTTGTAAATCAGCAAAGAAGCATTTTGAGGGATTTCTCTCATTTATTTTGAAGTAATCAGAGGAGAAAAACTGCACGAACGGCCAATGTTGACATCATGTATGCAACTAACAAGGCGTTTAAACGTGTCATCCCTGTAAATACAGGGAATAAATTATAGACTGCATCTGCCTATATTTGAGTGCTTTTGCGTAATTAAGAGCCGCGCCACTTCATTGATATCTTCTTGTGTGGTTTCGACTGCTGTCCAAGAGGTGATTGGCTGCTTTTTTCTCTTGCCTGCCTCAAGTAAATATGTATTGCGTGATTTCGGTGATTTTCTTCAATGTTTAAATTGTGTGTGCGGAGAAAATTGTCCAGTATGTTCTACTGTTGCAGATTGAGATCGCTTCCTGAGGCTTCTCAACATGTTTTGTCTGAAAATAATCCCATAATTGTCACCAATTTCCTCCCTCGTGTTTTTTTTTGTTGTGGTATCAATTGCACAAATCTCAACAATTTCTTTCAATGTGCGCAAGTGTTGCCTATATTTATCTCTCCTCTTTTTGGGAAATTCTCACTATCCGGCGAATGACTGTTTTCATGTGACCCTTTTGTGTGTGTGAAAAAGATACCGGCGCCAAAAACGTTGGTTTTCAGTCATTGTTATCGGTGATCACAAGAATAAATATAACGTAACAACGAAGGGATGCCGGGACAAAATGAGAAGAGAGAAAAATAAACTTGCCGACAAAGTAATAGGAAGAAAAAGAAAAATCCTACCATTTGAGTGAATTGCGAATGACAGAGCCCAGAGTTGATCTCTCAAAATGGATACTGACATCGGTGAAATAAAATATGTGTGATAGTTGTATTTATTTTATTGGGCATGACGAGAAATAAAGTTAGAGTATATAGATTTTATCAGCTTGAGAATTCTGCGATACATTATTTTTCTTCATATTATTAATTGCTCTTGCCTAAGCTTCATTTGCATTTTGGCTCAACAAAAGCTCAAAAAACAGGGAATTCTTGTGCAAAAGAACTCCTGCTGATTAAGCATTGCCACTTAGAATTCAAGTACAAGAGCCCCGAGAGCAGTGGATTAGATTAGGTTAAGGGGGATTAGGCTCACTTTTCGAGTGGTTTGGTATTGATGGCGTTTTGTGTGCCGCTGAATAATGAGTTTTTTTCCGCCAATTCGCAAAGCCTATGGGCAATTCCTCCATTCTCCTCTCAAGAGGTATCTGCATTCTCTCCTCAATGCCCATGGAGAGATGAGCTGTAAGTACATATTATATTGGATTAGGGCTGAAGAATGGTGATGATCGTGTTCTTGTGAAAGACATCTCTTCCATGTGTCTCCGGGCTTCTTTTTCATTCTGTTGTTGCCAACATTGTGGATGATACTTTATGTGAGAAGTGGCAACAAAGGGAGGGAGTAAACAAGGAGACGCTGCAGCCACTCTTTGGCTTTCAATGGGAATAGTTTCGGGGTTGTGTGTGAAAAATGGACACAAAAGGTGTTTGGAGGAACACCGGAGCTTTTGTAACTCAATTTGCACCCAATCAATGCAGCCATCATTGTTGTGGCATTCCCTATTCATTGCCTCTCCACGACGGATGACGGGAGTGACGGGATGCTGCACACGGAGGAGATCTCATCTATTTGGACACCAATTCATCCAATTTATTCAATAGGCCATGCAGGGACCGTTGGAGGGCTGTTTGTTTGTGGATGATTGAGCGATTTCACGCAGAAAAGAGGTGGAAAATCTCGAGTTGCATGACGAATTGGATCTCCCTGGTGGCTATAGCGCAGGAGAAATCTCCCAATCAATGGAACACACCCGATCCCGGCACTCTTCAGTGCACCTCAAAGTGGCAGCGGCACGATCTCCAGCCATTCCAGCGAGACTGGACTCCAGCATAGTGCTCGGACCGCCCACTGACCAGTCGCTTTTGGACCAACTCCAGCGGCTTCTCGGCTCCACTCTCTTTGGTCTGCGCTCTGCCTCCACCATTGGCGCCCATCTTCGGGGCAAATTTCATCACTTTGGCGCGCAACTGAAGCCACCTCGGCAAATGCGATGCGCAGCGCGACATGAGAACGCAATATCGCTTGCAATATTGTGCGATTTTTATGGCTGTCAACATTGAGTCACGCAATGATCACGGAAAGCTCCGCAGCGGCGCAAGCTTTTCGGCGTGAACGACAGACACCATTGCTGGGATAAATTTGATGTTTTATGAAGCCACACAGAATTGCCCATGGAGCTCATAATGATGAGATGATGATGTGGATAATTTCCTGTGGGAAGACCGAGGAGAGAATTAAATTCGTCACACATATTATTATCATTTCCCACTGTGGTTGGTGACACCGAATGACATGTTAGCATAAGCATAAATCATCTTAAATGTTTATATTCTTCGAGTTTCGGACGAAAAAGAGGACTCGCTGGTTTTTCTTTTGGGATAAACATTAAATGTAAATGTTTGGCTTGTTTTCAGCCAGTGATTTACGTTCGAAAATCAAATGCTTTGATTACCATTCGTCTTGACGGAAATTACTTAATAATGAAAGAATATTCCTATTGATTGCTTTCGATGGAGATTCATGTAAATATTTTTGTGAAAAAAACTCTTAATATATCGTTTGTATTTCCATTTCCAGATTGTCCTCACCAGCATGCATAAGTACAAGCCTCGGCTGCACGTGATCCGGACATCAGAGCCCAGCCAAATTCCCTGGTCGCCGTCGCAGGTCTTCTTCTTCCCGGACACGGACTTTGTGGCAGTCACGGCATATCAGGTTAGTTCAGAGCGCCTCTTGACAGCGCCAAGTCTCACACAAATGATCCTCATGAGGGTTTGTTTGTCACAAAAACACACCAGAGAGTCCTCTGTGGCTCCACTCGAGCCATCTCACGAGGGTTTGTTTCTACTCTTGAGGCCAATCTCAAGTGGACACCCTTCTGGATGGCGCACAAGTGCGTCGACAGAATTCTTAGGCGAAAGGATCGAAGGAGGAAGAGACATCTTCGAGAGGGCTTCTTCTTCCCTGCCACATTTGTCACTTGTTCTCATTGTCTGGGCTATCTGTCTGCCTCCGAATCTCCTCTTCCTGCACACTTTTTGCCCCTTCCTCGTGGGCTTGTCTCTCTGGCCAACGCTATCGCTCAAATCTCTGTTTCTCCTCTCATTTGCTGAGGACTCCACGCAAAGAGACCGTGAATTGGCGGCAAGAGGCCAAAAACACTCTGTTCACTCTTCAGGGAATCTTGTTAAATGAATCGAATCTCTTTGGGCGCCAGATCGAGTTTCACGCATTGCCTTTTGTCCTCAAAGACTGTCGACGCTGTGGCGATTGCGAAGCACAAAGTGACTATTGTCTTTGGACCATCTCTTAAATTTCCTCCGGCACATTGCAAAATACCAAGGGCTACTCATAATGATTTTAAGTGTTGCTCTGCAGAAATTGTCTTCAGAGAATTCGCAGCCTCTTGGCAAATTCACTTCAAGTGGATGACGATTTGGAAAACATTACATGACTTCTGCACAAGTTCTCTGCTCTGGGAGAAATGCCAGAGAAAATTCCACTTAATTCCCAGGAAGAAGATGGGGAAGGAGTTCGGGAAAGGAGGAGAGAGAGAGAAAGATGCTGCCAAATGTGGGCGATTCGATTAATTTTTGCATGCTTGTGTACATAAAAAGTCGTCATTCACACTTTTTGCGGGGCCCCGAGAGGCTCCGAGGAGAGAGAAAGAGGGTAATTAATTTATTCCAGAGCGCACGCTAAATGTGCAATTAATCGATTGTGCACAGTTGAGGCCAGCGCACAGAGAATCTGCCTTTTAAGACACTCATGATATGCAGCCCCATTGAAAAATCCCACCGGCGGCCTCTTCGCGCTCTCAAATTCCATCGCCGTGTGTCGGCATCCAAGCACTGAACTCAATGACTCTCATCCACTGTGTAATAATTACCAGCTGTCGACTTTTTCAAACATGGAAATTATTTGATTAATCCCACTTCCAAGTGGGTGTCCAGCGAAGACCAACAGCGAGGCGCCTGCGAGCTGCTGCTCGCCAGAGCGTTTATCTGCGAATTACTTCACTGGTAATTCCATCTAATTCCATTCAATTGATATTGAGCGCATTTTACATACATGGAAAGCTACCGCTAAAATCACTCTCGAGCGGATTTTTCGCAATTTCCAATTAAATGAAACGCACTTTAGGCGCTCATTGGATATCAACTTTTTTTTTACCCAATTAAACCTATTCTCATGAACTCATTACAGTCGCTCATGTCTTTTGTTAGTTGATGAGTGACTTTACCGTCTTGTTGATGCAATGATCTGAAATACACCTGCGTGAAATCTATCACACCATGTCTTTTTCGTCTTCTTGGGTGACTTTTTAGCAGATATTCGCGGTATTTGCCTCACTTATCAGCTGAAATGAAGAGTTACAAGCACAGAAAAACGACCAATAAATCCCATTTGTATATTTCATTTCTCCGCATGATTGTCATGAACATCAAAAACCATGTGCATTAATCAATTTGTTTGTGTATTGATCATATCTTGCATCTGAAATGTTTTCATCTCTGCCGAAAGACACATGCTGAGCCTCGCAAGAAACCATCTTCTTCCCCGACAGATCACAGCAACAATTCTCAATCGTGGCAAAAAGTGTGCAAAAAACATCACTTCTACCCTCGCGGGAGTGTTACACACCCCCGAATGGGGAAAGAGGGTGGAAGAGGGTTCATTGAGGACGGTGGCAAGAGAGGATCTCATAGATAGAGATATAAAACGGGATGAGGAAGGAGACAAGAGAGAATGTCTAATAAGTCAGTAGAGCGTGTGATCAGATCAAAGCGCCGCTCTTGGATTAGCTCTTGATCCTCCTCACCGTCATTCCCTTGGCGAGGCGACGGCGAGCGGCACTTTTGGGCGATCTCTTTGAAACATGGATCACCAGACTGCCCTCCGTGTCTCCTGGGTTGCATGCAAAAAAGTCATGCTCACTCAAGTGCAGATCTTTTGCGACGGTGTGTCGTCGAAAGGGATTCACACCGTCAACAGACGCATGAAGATGAGCCGAAAGGGGCAACTTTTCTTGCGGTTCACCTACAAAATCTTCAGTCTTTCGGCGTCGATGAGCAAACTTATTCGATGTGACAAATATGAATGTTTTCTGCATTAAAGATTTCTCCAATGCGACCATCGGTTCGTGATGGAGTATCTTCAGAATGTGGATGAAGATTGTCAGGGACATGACAAAGGTTATTAATTGGACATGGAGATTGGCAGGTTTTCTGAGTCAAAGACATGACGAAAAAAGAATGCTCACCCAGTCTGTCAATTAAACACCTCAGAAGGGCGTGCATTAAAGCCAATATATGATAATTATTTCTTAAAATTATGGATTATCTCTTCTATTTAGCCAGTCGAGACAGAACTGTGCTTATTTCACCAACGAAACTGTCTTTCTCACCTGTGAAATATGAGAAATTCTCTCTTAAATCACCTCTGTCTGTGCTGATTGGTTGACTGCAAATTGTCTTTTGGACTTTTTTTTCTTCTTACCTGAGTAAGATAAGAATAATTTTTGTTGTACCTGGACAACTTCTTAAGTCATCAAACCTCTTCGGTTTGTAGCTTGAACGTAATGAGACGAGCAGATGCATTTTACCCACGCTAGAAAACACACATTTTGCCATGATTCGAGAATTTTCTTTCGTGATATTATTATGTACACAACGAGGCGAAAGGTTGCTGCAGGGCATGACTTTAGACACTCATCTATTTTGCCGCACTGGCCAAGCTTTCGAGCCTGCGGTACTTTAGCCAGAATGATTATTTTATCAAGTATCTGCAATGACTGGCAGAACAGTCTAATCATCCAGCGCTCCTGATCACTATCTCTGCTATTACATGCACCTAAATTATTTTTAGAAGAAAAAAGTTACCTGCAATGCCTAAAACGAGAAAGGACGACAATTTGTATATTTTGTATTTAAATTTCTCTCTCACTGTGACTTATCTGGTGTTGTTTTTATCTCTTTATTATATGCACTCTTAGACATATTTTACAGCCACATTTCCGTTCCTTGCAGAATGATCACATCACGAAGCTGAAGATTGACAACAATCCCTTCGCCAAGGGCTTTCGCGAGACTGGACAGTCGCGCTGCAAGCGCAAAACGACAAACGTGAATCCGGGCGGCGGAAGCGGCAGCGGATCTTCAATCGCCCTCAAGTCCAACGTCTCGCTGATGGCGACGTCTCTCAAGTCGGCCAAGAGCGACCCAACAATGGCTCAGAGCGCGAGCACGGCCGAGGAGGCGAGCCGCCATCCGCCGAAGCGAAAGCGCGCCAACAGCTCGTCCGGCTCCGTCTCGTCCCTGGACGACAGCGGCCTCTCGATCTGCGGCAGCTCCAGCCGGACAAGCTCACCCTCCACCAACACAGAAGACGCCTCCCCCACACGCTCCATGGCCCCCACGGCTCCTGGGGCCGATCTCGAGGCCCTGCGCGGCCTGCCGGCGCCCCCGGAGGCCCTTCTGCAGCACTACAGCGCCGCCGCGGCGGCCCGCTCCAACTGGATCGACTTCGCGCTGTACTTCTCGCGAGTGTCGGGGCTTCCCTTGGCCCCGTACCAGCACCCAGTGCCCCACCATCCGCCAACGACCGCCGCCTACGACATGCTGGGCCCCTACGGGCCGCAGTACCCACCTCTGGCCGCCGCCGGCCCCTTCGGCGGCAACGTGCTGATGCACCTCGCGGCCGCGCACAATCTGCGATCGCCGAGCAGTCCTCACTCGCCGCACGGCGCCGATTCGGGGCGCAGCGGCGCCAAGAGCAGCTTCACCATCGACGCCATCCTCGGCCGCGAGGAGCAGAACTGAGGCCGCCGCGGAGGATCACAGCCTCACGACTGAACTGGTGCATTTCTTTCATTCAGAACCTCATCGTTTGGGTTTGCTTTCAGTGGATACAAATTGATATGGACAGAAAAAGTGGCAAAAGTGCCTCGAATGAATGAAAAAGTGTGGCGAGGTGAGCCCGCCCACGATTAAGGTGTGCTTAATATATAGATGATTAATATTAATTAAGTGCCATTTAATGTGTGAAAGAGACGAATGACGCAAACTGTAAGAGAGATTCTCCACAATAAGAGTATAAATTTATATTAAATTCCTATAAGACAATTAATGTTTGTTATATATACGTTTCCTCCCATGCAAGATTTTCTAAGCGTCTCATATAATTCAGATATTGTAAAATATAGAAAAAAAGTAGAATAATGCCCTAGAGAATCACATTCAATTGTATATTTATAAGTTAATTAAGCATCTTTCTTTTAAGTGCAATGGCAAATTTTTTCTATTAAGCGACTCTCAAAAATTACTTTCCCGTCTGCGTAGATGAATTTTTATTTATTTGTATTCTTCACTGCCCAGAAAAACATTTGTACAAGAACCTAATTTTACCACATAGAAGACAATTTTATACGCCAGAAAAGAAATCCAATTCTCAGTATAATTTTTCAATTTCAAAAAACAATCGTTCAGTGAAAATTTGTGAAAAATGGTATAAATTAAAAATTATTCTGTATGTCCAAAGAGAATAAATATTTTTGTATAAACAACATTTCAATCTACTCTTGCTCGAGGACTTCAGCCATGATGTTTGAACAACTGATCCGCAACATCTTCACGAAATACACGCCTTTAATGGACATTTTATCACTTCCTCTTTATTAAGTGGTCACTCTGTGGGGATTGTGTCTTAATTAACGCGCCTTTAATACTTCGTTTCCCAGGGCATTTCATGAAAAGCACCAGAACGATGTTTCCCTGTCTGTTCATCAGCTTACGCGGGATTTTTCTGGATTAGAGACTTGCAAAAAGCAATTGACTCAATTTCAATCAGTGATTCTCAGGAAGAGACGTTGATTGATTGAATAAAGTGGGCAGAATCTTCTAGAAAAAAGCTCGGCAAAAAGGTATGAAAGACTTCCAAGAATATATTTAAGACCTGAAAAATATTTCTTCTGTAATTATCTCTTAATACCTCGAATTAAGACAAGTAAATACGTAGTTAAGCTTTGGCATTTTGGAGCATAACTTGTGCTTAAGTTAATGATTATCGGGATTATCGTGTTTGAGGAGCAAAAGTTTATTTTATGTCTTTCGACAATTGATATTGTCTCATCTCTTAAGTTAAGAGGCTAGAAAATCATACAAAAGTTAATGATTTCTTTGTGTTAGAACTCTTCCACCATGTGTTGAACTAATTTTCTCATTCTCACGTGTAATTTCAGCAGCAGAAATCAATATGTGGTAGAAAAAGGTATAAAACATTTATGATATTCCCACGCTGTGTATTTTAACACACATGCAGTTGGAGGTTTCAAAATAGGCGCGAAAAGTCACAGCATTTCGATACTCAACTTTTTTCATATTCACCACTCCAACCGAACTCACCATTGTCACAGTAGCCGTCGTCGACGTGTGTTTTCTGCGAGTGTTTCCTGAGAAAAAAATGAGTTTTTCTCTGTAAATTCGCATTTAATTGTATTAATAGTCTCATCAGCAATGAAATACCCTTCAGTCGTTGCGTTTATATTACTAATAGTGGCTGTGACTTGTGATGAACATTCACATATTGTGAGTATTCTTGTTGGAAGCTTCTCAGCCTGTCGGAAAACAAATTGCCTCCAAGTTTGGGGCGCGAAGTCCAGGCGATTTCCCTCTGGGCCGGAAGGCAGCTTGAGTACACGCGGTTCGAGGGGTTCTGATGAGGGAGCGGGGCTGTGGGGGCGTGATTGCGAGTGAGAGGGCGGATTTGCGGCGTCCGGATGGCTGAAAGTGTCTTTCTCTGTTTGCAGTATGAAGACCACGAAGAGGTGGTTCTCTGGATGAACACTGTGGGGCCGTACCAGAACCGCCAGGAGACGTACGCCTACTTCTCCCTGCCTTTCTGCGCCGGCACCAAGCAGAGCATCAGCCACTATCACGAGACGCTGTCGGAAGCGCTCCAGGGCGTGGAGCTGGAGTTCAGCGGATACGACATTGACTACAAAGGTGCGTGTGTGACGCAATGCTGAGGTTCTGGCAGTGTGAGAGCTTCTCTCCTTTGCAGATGACGTCCAGGAGTCTCCCGTGTGCATGGTGGATCTAACGGAGGACAAGCTGAAGGCCTTCATCTATGCCACGAAGAACGATTACTGGTACCAGATGTACATCGACGGTCTGCCGATCTGGGGAAAGGTGGGCGGCCTGGACGAGAGCACGGGCAAGTACTACATCTTCGCGCACAAGCGCTTCGAGATCGGCTACAATGGCAAGAGGATTGTGGACGTGAATCTGAGCACGGAGCGAAAGGAGATCCTGACGCTGGGCAGCAAGATTCAATTCACGTATGAAGTGAAGTGGAAGTCCAGTTCGGTGAAGTTTGAGAATCGCTTCGACAAGTACTTGGATCCGAACTTCTTCCAGCATCGCATCCACTGGTTCAGCATCTTCAACAGCTTCATGATGGTGATCTTCCTCGTGGGTCTCGTGTCGATGATCCTCATGCGCACGCTGCGCAAGGACTACGCGCGCTACAGCAAGGACGAGGAGATGGACGACATGGAGCGCGATCTGGGCGATGAGTATGGCTGGAAGCAGGTCCATGGGGATGTCTTCCGGTCGCCGTCGAACACGCTCATGTTCTCATCACTGATTGGCGCCGGATATCAACTCACGTCTGTCGTTCTCTGTGTCATCATCTTCGCTATTCTCGGGGAATTGTACACTGAGTGAGTTCATTTACCATCTCTCTCCCTCTCTCGCTCTGTTGTTTGTTTTGACGCCTTCACATTACAAGTGAGCACACATCTGAGAAATTGATTCAATTAGTGAAATTGCTGATAAGTTAATTAGACAATTCCCTATGAAAATGCATCAGATGAATTTGTAGCAATTATTGTTCCGACAAGCGCGCCAAATTCTAACAATCTGCTTGGATTTCACAATGAGCAAGCAAAAGAGCGAGAGATATTTTTCCATATAGAAACTCGATAAAGTTATTTGATAGTGCGTGCTCGAAGAGAGACTTTCAATTACTTTCACACGCAGAAAGAGTCAACAAAAGCCTTCAAATGTCGTGTATATCGCTGACCCAAAAAGTGCCGCTTGGCATTTTTGAGACATCTTCCTCTTGAAAGTGTTGAGAAATCCATTAGAGATGTTTTTTTGCTTGCAGTTTCTTTCATGAAAATATTGTTATTGCATTTTTTGCCGATGACGAGACGCAAGATTTCAACGGTTGTCTTTTGCGGAGTGTGTGTGTTGCTCATAATATCTTGAGGAAGTTGTTTAATCATAAATCAACGATTACGATAAACCCACTGAAAATGTGACGGTTTAACGCTTGTTAATGAAGGAAAAAGCTTATCACAAGTTATAATAATAATATAAAAGCTGAGTAAAAGCGATAATTGAATTTTCAAAACCTATTCTTTATCGCACACAAAATGAGGTGTATTTTGTGTGAATTGGAAGACGACTAAATGTGCTTAATTGATAACAAGCAATCGCTGTAGTACACGTCAAACCACATTTAATTCACTGTAGTGGAAATTAATTACACACTTGAAGCCAAAGTTCAATTGATGGAATGGACAGAATAATGTCCAATAGTTTATCCATTTCTGGTTTTTTAATTATGACTTGGCATTTTCCAGACGAGGATCAATGCTGTCCACGGCGATCTTCGTGTACGCCGCTACATCGCCCATCAACGGCTACTTCGGCGGCTCTCTGTATGCGCGCCTGGGCGGGAAAGTGTGGATCAAGCAGATGCTCGTCTCTGCCTTCCTCATTCCCGTCTTCGTGTGCGGCACGGCGTTCTTCATCAACTTCATTGCCATCTACTATCACGCGTCGCGCGCCATTCCGTTCGGCACGATGTTGGCCATCACGTGCATATGCATCTTCGTGATTCTGCCGCTCACGCTGATCGGCACTGTTGTGGGGCGCAATCTCGACGGCCAGCCGGACTATCCGTGCCGCGTGAATGCCGTGCCGCGGCCGATTCCCGAGAAGAAGTGGTTCATGGAGCCACTAGTTATCATCTTGCTGGGCGGCGTGTTGCCCTTCGGATCGATCTTCATTGAAATGTGAGTTTAAGTGGGCCCTTGAATCGCAATTACACGCTTTAAACTTGCCCTCACTTTTTCAGGTACTTTATCTTCACGTCGTTCTGGGCATACAAAATCTACTACGTCTACGGATTCATGCTGCTGGTTTTCCTCATTCTCATGGTGGTCACAGTTTGCGTTACAATTGTCTGCACTTACTTCCTTCTCAATGCTGAGGACTATCGGTGGCAATGGACGAGTTTCCTGTCGGCTGGCTCAACGTCCATCTACGTCTACATCTATTCCTTCTACTATTTCTTCTTCAAGACCAAGTAGGACGCGCGAATTCTGGGCCATTTTGTCATAGCAATTCTAATGCGTTTTTCTGCACTCTTTCAGGATGTACGGTCTGTTCCAGACGACCTTCTACTTTGGCTACATGGCACTGTTCAGTGGAGCTCTCGGGATAATGTGCGGAACAGTCGGTTACATTGGGACGAATGTGTTTGTGCGGAAGATATATTCAAATGTGAAAATAGATTAAGCAGAAAAACCCTTTGGGATGGATGAGCGAGAGAGAGAGAGAGAGAGAATTATAATGAAAGAAAGGATAATGGCGAGGCGAGTGAAAGTAAAAAAAACAAGAAAAGGAAATGTGGACAGTAAGTATTTTAAAGAAATGTATAATTTTATCGCCAATTAAGGAACAATTTCTAAGCAGAATTTAGACGGTTTCTCTTCTGACACAAAAAAACCACACTTGTAGATGAGCTCCTGTCGAAGGGAAGCTCGTGAGAAGAAGAGAGATGATTAATGGCCACTATAGATACCACTCACAATTCTTATTTGCCTCGATGGATTGTATCTTTTTTTTATGTTAAACGTCTCTATAACATTGCATTCTAATTGTGACACTGAAAATCCTTACTTTGTAACTTGATAAGTAGCAAGTGTAAGAATTGAGTATGCGTAATTAAAAAGAAAAAGGAACTACAATGATTTACGATGAAGTGAGTGAGGCTCACTTTCAATATATACTTAATATTTTCAAGTAGTGAGACTGTTGTAATTGAGCGAGCGAGAGAGAGAGAGAGAGAGAATAAATTTGTGACTGGTCTACTCGAGTGTCTCTTGGAGCTATTCCAGGCATCTCGTCTCGATCCAGGGACGCACAGAGACAGATAAATCTCAAAGAGCGAGACAGTGTGACCTCTGACCTGCTGACCACCTCCAATTTTGCTCCATGACAGTGCGAAAATTGGATCTGCCATTCAGTGCGAATTCTTGAGTGTGAAAAGAATTCAGGGTTCGATGCGACACTTTGAGCTTAGCGCAGGATTTCTTACAAAAATCTTATGAGACTTTTGATTTACTTCTTTCGAGTCATTCAATAGTTTTGAGCAATTGACTCTTCTGTTATCTATTCTCTAAGGATAGATAAGAATATTAGACAATTTTCAGCACAAACTGTGGACAACCATGGGAATAATAGTGTCCGAATATTTAAAAGATAGTATATATGAGAGGCGAGAATCAATTTCAATCAATTGGAGCTTGAGAATTGATCTACGGAGGATCGCTTTGGTCAGTAACTGCCTTCATCTCAGCGAGTCAAGATCGACAAGTCAAGTATCTGAATATCTCTGTCAAGCAGCAATTTATCGCCTCAATCTCCGTGGCGAATTTGCTGTTCCAATTAAACTGTGTTTAGTGATTTGTGCAGAAAAGTGTTGCAATGTAAGGATTCCTGCGATGATCATCTCTAGTGTGAATGGATTAGTGCTGCATACAGATCAATTTGCACTTAACTTCCTTTGTCGACCACTCTTCGACTAATTGGCCTTGAATCTATTGAACTCTATCGCCAATTGACCCGCATGACATGGCACAGCACCAATCTTCAGCGTCCGAATGCGATCAGTTGGTCAGATTCTTTGATCTCTGGTCTCTCGAGACTTCCGTTCTGACGAAAGTGTCCCGCTTTATGCACACAAACACACACATTTTGCTTTATGCATCACGTAACGATTGGGTTGCTTTAGGACTGTGGTGAAAAATGAGGACACGCCGGCGGAAGAGTCATCCACGGCGAATCGCGTGAGCTACTTTCGGCTCTTCCGCTTTGCCACCAAATGGGAGCTCTTCCTCATCTTCCTGGCCACAATTCTCACGGCCATCAGTGCCGCCACGATGCCAATGATTATCGTCACATTCGGTGAATTCTCCACGATTCTCATCGAGCGCGAATTGGCGGGCACGAGTTCGGAGACAATTCTTCTGTGGATGTTTGGCGGCGGGAAAGTTCTGTAATATTACTGCACAATCCTCCAAATTACCCTCTGGATGACGTGCATTTTGATGTCTTGCAGGAGCAATGCGTCTGAGGAAGAGACTAGAGTAGAGATCATAAATGATTCGGAAGCTTATCTCATTTGGTTGAGCATTTTGGCGGCTATTCAGTTCGTGAGCAGTGTCATGTTCGTGGACATCTTCAACTACACCGCCCTGAAGCAGATCACGAGGATAAGAGTGAGGTATTTTCAGGCAATCGTGAGGCAAGAAATGTCCTGGTATGATAGCACAAATGATAACAATTTCGCATCGCGTCTCACAGAGTAAGTCAATATTTCAATGAGCATTCAGAATTGTAATTGAATCAATTCAAATTTCAGTGATATCGATAAGATCCGCGATGGAGTGTCAGAGAAACTGGGAATGTTCCTAATGTTGATGCTCACATTCATAATTTGCATCATAATTTCACTGGTTTACGGATGGAAACTCTCTCTGGTCATTCTGGCATGTCTTCCTGTCTTAATCGTCTGCAATTTCTTTGTTCTCAAGGTAAAAGATTGCTGAGATCTTCCCAAAAATTAAACTGACCACCAAAAATCTATGATTTTCAGTTCCAAAGCGCTCTCACAGCTAAAGAATTGGACGCTTACTCCAATGCTGGTGCCGTTGCTGAGGAAGTTCTCAGCTCAATTCGAACCGTTGTGGCATTTGGCGGTGAAGAAAAGGAAGCTGAACGATATGCTAAACGCCTGAAGCCCGCCCAGAAGGCAGGAAGGCGAAAGGGAGCGTTTTCGGGACTTGGAGAAGGACTTCTGAGGATGTTTTCGTACAGCATAAACTCCCTCGCATTCTGGTATGGTGTGACGTTGATCCTGGACGACAGGAGCAAAGAGGAGAAGGAATACACACCAGCCATTCTCATGATTGTGAGCTGAGATTCTAGACGGATTTTCCCGCTTTTGGGCCATGAATTAATTGGTGTTCTTTGCAGGTCTTCTTTGGCATCTTGGTTGGCTCGGAAAATATGGCCAAAGCGGGACCTTTTCTGGAGGCTTTCGCCACAGCCAGAGCTTCCGCGTACAGCATCTTCAAGATAATTGACAGGGAGTCAGCAATTGATCCCATGTCAGGCAATGGGAAGGTCATCAACACCGGAATGAGGGGAGATGTTCAGTTCCAGGGAGTGAGTTTCCACTATCCCTCCAGGCCAGATGTCCCGATCTTGAGGAACTTGAACATATCAGTGTCTTCTGGGCAAACAATCGCCCTCGTTGGACACTCTGGATGTGGAAAATCGACCATTTTGCAGTTGCTTCAGCGATTCTATGATCCGAAAGAGGGACAAATCTGCATCGATGGATACGATATTAAGATGCTCAACACTTCTTGGCTGAGATCCAATATTGGTATCGTTGGACAAGAACCGGTGCTCTTCGCCACGTCTGTGAAGGAGAACATTCGCTGTGGAAAGCCTGAAGCCACTCAGAAGGAAATTGAAAATGCAGCAAAATCATCGGGTGTTCATGATTTCATAATCAGTTTGCCAGACGTGAGTTTCTCTAAGATGTTTTCTGTGTGCAACATTTGAGGAACTGAAAATCTGTCTTTTAGGGATATGACACGCAAGTCGGCGAGTTGGGAGCGCAGATGTCCGGTGGGCAGAAGCAGAGAATCGCCATCGCTCGAGCTCTCATCCAGAATCCAAAAATTCTGCTACTTGACGAGGCGACTTCCGCCTTGGATTCGCAAACTGAGAAACTCGTTCAAGACACTCTTGAGAGAGCGTCGAAAGGTCGAACCACGATCATCGTGACGCATCGATTGTCCAGCATCCGGAAGGCAGACAGGATTGTGCTGATGGATCGAGGAATTGTCTTGGAGGATGGCACACACTTTGACCTGATGAAGCTTCAGGGGAAGTACTACAACATGGTCAGAGCGGACTCCCTTCAGAGTGCGCAAGCGGACAATGTGACCGTTGAGAAGGAGGAGGACGAGAAGAAGAAGAAGCGCGACAGCAAAGGACTCCTGAAGTTCGACAATCATGTCCACTTCGAGGAAAATGCCCTCAAGGCAGTCGCCGATGAGGAGAAGGAGGAGAAAATAAACTCCTACAGAGTGTTTGTGCGCATCCTGAAGATGACCAGAGCTGAGTGGTGTTATCTCTTCCTCGGAGCCATTTCTGCTGGTCTCATTGGCATGTCCTACACGTCCTTTGCCATCCTTCTCGGCGACATTTACGGCGCCCTGTCGCTGGAGGATCCGGAAGAGGTTCAAGATCGCACGAACATTTTGTGCATCGCCTTCCTGATAGTCGGAATCATCACTGCCACGAGTTGCTTCCTGCAGAGCTTCATGTTCAACACGACAGGCGTCAATCTCACCACGAGACTCAGATCCAGAGCCTTTCGGTCGATTATGCGACAGGAAATGGCTTGGTTCGATCGGGACACGAATTCCGTTGGAGCTCTGACTGCTCGTCTTTCGGGCGACGCTGCCAATGTGAGATCGGCTGTCGGACCGCCGATTGGAGGCATCATTCAGGCCATCACCACTCTGGTCGTGGGCATCAGTGTCTCCATGGTGTACTCCTGGAAGCTGGCCTTGGTTTGCATGTGCTTCGTGCCACTCGTCCTGGGATCAGTCATCTTTGAGGCCAAGTAAATGACATTTCGTAAGCTAAATTCATAGCTAAAGACATTTTCCCTTATCAGATTTATGACCACGAGTTTCATGGCGGAGAAGAAGGCTATCGAGGAAGCCACCAAGATTGCAACAGAAGCGCTCCTCAATATTAGAACAGTTGCCAGCTTGCGCCAGGAAGCCAGCATGGTCGCGAGATATTCGCTGGAGATCCAGAAAGTCGAGAAGTCCGTCAAGCGGAAGCTGATGTTCCGCGGTTCTGTCTTCTCCATTGGCCAGTCTGCACCAATGTTCGCCTACGCTGTCGCTCTCTACTACGGAGGTCTTCTTGTGGCCAACGAAGGATTGGGCTATGAGAAACTGATCAAGTAATCTCATCTTAATGTAGATTTAAGAAATTCATTCGATTGATTTCGTGATCTTTGCAGGGTTTCTGACTCTCTTTTGTACGCTGCCATGATGTTGGGACAATCTTTGGCCTTTGTTCCCAGTCTCACTGCCGCCTTCTTGGCTGCTCACAGACTCTTTCAGATCATCGACCGAAAGCCAGTCATTCAATCGCCAAAAGATATCAATGACAACAAGAAGCAGGAATACGAAAGCACTATTAACTATGCTGCTGTTGAATTCAGCTATCCAACCAGAAGTGAAGTGCCTGTTCTGCAGGGTTTAGACCTCAAGGTGTTGAGTGGAAAGACAGTGGCTTTGGTGGGACCTTCAGGATGCGGTAAATCCACATGTGTTCAACTCCTTCAGCGTTTCTATGATCCTGACAATGGAAGAATCGTAAGGATATTTTCTTTGTGCCATCAAATGTACTGTATTTATTATATTATTTCTTCAGTTCCTCAACTCCGAAGAGATTTCCAGTGAGATTGAAATACCTCATTTGCGCGGGAAGATCGGAATTGTCTCCCAAGAGCCAGTGTTGTTCGACAAGACCATCGCTGAGAATATCGCGTACGGAGACAATTCCAGGGAAGTCTCGACAGCTGAAGTGATCGCAGCGGCAAAGACTGCCAATATCCACAGCTTCATATCGTCCCTGCCGCTGGGATACGACACTGGCCTGGGGACGAAGGGTACCCAATTGTCCGGTGGCCAGAAGCAACGGATTGCCATCGCGAGGGCTCTTCTGCGCAACCCAAAGATCCTCCTGCTGGACGAGGCCACGTCCGCCCTGGACGCGGAGAGCGAGCAAATTGTCCAGCAAGCTCTTGAACTGGCCAAATCGGGCCGCACTTGCCTCATAATCGCCCACCGTTTGTCCACCATCCAGAACGCGGACATCATCTGCGTGATCCAGTGCGGCAGGGTGACCGAGCAGGGCACTCACGAGGAGCTCCTGGCGCGCGGCGGCTTCTACTCGAGGCTCTACAACACCCAGCCGATTAATTAGGCGGTCAGACGGTGGGAAAGAAGTGAAATATCTAAGCCAATTGCCCTAAGATTGCATGCTCTTGGACACACTATGTTTTATGCCTCTCGTCACTCTCTTTGTTGTATAAATTAAACTTTATTATACAATGTACATTTTTTCGTGTTTTCATTTAGTTTTTCAGGCAATTTTTCATATTTTTTGGCAAGTAAATAGCAGATGATGAAAACAAATTCAAATACAACTGCGAAATTACACTTAAGATCAACGAAAGAAGGTGAAGATGAAGTGATACGGTTATTGCTCAATATCTACCTCAATTTATGTGCTAATCTTTATCGCATTAGCACAAAGACAATGCATCCTGGGATTCGTGCGATCGGCCAAGAATGTCAATGTCGCAAGATCAAGAGATACTAAATCACTAAAGGTATAAAATTCGCTAAGAAATTCGCCGTTTTTTGGGTGTGAAGAAGACTAGTCAGAAGATGAAAGAATCATTCTAAAGATCTTCAAATTAATCCTAAATCAATTAAACCCACTCCAAGAAATTCACTGTGAATCTGAAATAATTCTCTCCTCTTTGATCATCGTGTAATTTGAATTTCACCTAGGTTTTATGATCGTCTTGAGGGTCTTGAGAGAATGAAATTTGCAAGGAAATTTGTTAATAAAATGGAAATTCATGCCCTCTAAATAAAATGACAAAGAATAATGCAACCTTTTCGACTCTTTCATCACCTTTGTTTTATGGAGCAACTTCCTCTTGTCCACACATTTGCAATTAGTGATCAAATTCCGTTGCCCAGAGTGCAGACAATGCGAGGTGGAAGCTCTTGCATCCATTGCAGACACCTTCTTGCTGGCCACGATCATTCAGCTGGCAAATGAAGAACAATGAGACCGAGAGATAGTTTAGCTGCAACTGGCAATCAAGTTAGGCAGACGATCCGGAGGGTGAGTTAGGCAAGTGTGCAGATTCTTGATAAGGGACTCTCTTTTTGCGAAATCCTCAAGAAGGTGGACGCGTCTCGTATCGGAATCTATTTTCCACTGGATTTACAACTTTTACACCATGTCGTGAAATGTTCGCCAGAGTGTGAAGAAATTATGTATGATTCTCTTTCATCCAGAAAATTGTGCTAATCACCTTTTCCAGCTTCAGCGCATATAATCTTCTTCCTCATATGAATTTCAATGAAAGTTCTTGCGCAAGCCAAAGCGAAAATCTTGCACCAAAACCAAATTATTCAAGAGCACAATGGTGTATTTCAACTTCCAACTCTCCTCCTTCTCGCATTCTCATCTCAGTGACACAAATGCATTTGAACTTAATGTTGGCCAAAATAATTACAAATGTTAAAAACTGTGACGTATCGCGATTGTTCCGCCGAAGGCAGTATAATATCCACACACACATTCTCTCTTATTGGGCGGGAGATTTTCGCGGGAAAAAGTTCTCACACGTGGCTAAATAAAAGGAGGAAAATTTACATAAATCACATTTATATGAGCAGCGTATGTATTTGAGGCAGTTGAAATTACTGGAAAAATTAATACTGTGTGAGCCATTATGTTAGAAGCAATGGGTTTCTTTAGGCACAAAAATTCATAATACAAACTGCAAGGGAAACAAATACTCGCACTATGTGTTCAAATGCAACATCTATGCAATGGAGTTGATTTTCATCACATAAAAAAAACTGCGAATTTATTTGGCAATTAACACCCAATTCTTCGCATATCCGCGTTTCCCCACGCAATAATTATAGAGATCACATTTCGAGAGGGAATTCCAGATTACATTTTTGAGGAATTATCTAGAAAAAAGATCAACTCTAGTCCGAGAGGCAACAATGACGCGAGTTAAAGCTCAAAAATTCCACTTGACTCACTGAATCCAGAGTCAAAACTTGCAGAGACAATGACTAAGTAAAACTATTAATTATATCACAAGTTCCCAGCTTAATTACCAATTTCACAAGATCTTGAATTTATTGATTCTCTCACCAAAAGTCCGCCAATTTCTCAGCTCACTTTTTCCTCACTCCTCGTGAATTACGCATATTTTTGCATTATAAAAATATGTGCTTTGTGAATAATTTAACGATAGTCGTGCTCGCCTAATTAAAATGAATCTCTACCAGAATTATGTTGTTTTAATACAAGATAAACATGACTGTTTACTCATTTTTTTCTTTTGTATCATTTTTGTTAAGTTCACATACAAATCTGGACGCATGCTTGTCATCATGCAATGCACTATTTCTGTCCAACTTTATTATTGCATTATGTGGCCTTTGCATGATCTCTTAATGCTTAATCATTGTGATCTGCAGATGATTGCAAGTGAGAAAAGACACACAGTTTAGGACTTTTCTTTCATCAAGACGAAAATAATTGTTATGCAAGATCACTCAACGAGACTTATTATGTCTCATTTAGCATCGCCGCACAATGCAGATGTGAACTCATTACGATTATTGCATTGATTTTTGCAGAGAAATTGCACAATGACTTTGAGGGTCACACTCACGCTGTGTTTTCCCATCCGAAAAAAAAGCCAATGATGCTGCGTGATCTTGGCTTTCGCACTGGAAAATATTCAATTGCGCCAACCGGCAACGTGATGATTAATTGATCGGCAGATGAACGTCAAATTGGCCACACAAAAGCCCACAGAAAATGTATCAATTAAAGTGAGTTTTTCTTCTTTTAACAAATTGCAAACTTTGCACTGTTTCCGACTGAGATTCTCAGATTGGGCTTGAAGTGAAAAAAAAGGTGTGATGAAATTGAGAAAAAAAAACACTGAATTGAATTGAATTGGTTGCATTTTTTCTCCTTGCCTGACCGTAATGCTATTGAGACACAATTAAAATCATTTCAGATTTTACACAGAACATTTAATTTATGCCATATAATGGGTAAGATAACTGGAGCTTTTCTGACAGATGCTGTTTTCTTATATTACGAAATACGCAATTATAGATCCCAATTTGTCCACCAATTATACCTTTTCAAGTACTTCACAGTCAGAAAATTTCACAATAACCCGCGTTAGGTGAAAAAGTCCGTTGGAATTTTAATAAAATACTCATCAAAGTAGATTGAAAATTGTTCTGAATAATATTTTGATTTTATTTAGAATCTGTATTTAAAATAATTTCATACTTCTAACAAAGAAATTCAAGATGAACACATAAAAAGGCTTCAAAGAGCTTAATTTTCATTCTTTCCTCATGATTCGCGATTCTAACATTCCAACAGTAAAGCAGTAAAGAACAATAAAGAATTTAAATGATAGTGAATTCAAAGAAGAGCTTTGGTATTTGAAGAATTCCCGATAACGTTACAATATTGAGTCACATCCTTCATCGCAATTAGACGAATACTTGTGAAGAGGAACGTTGTTAGTGCGCGGTAAAGCCTTAACCCACATGGAATTCCGATATCCGCATATTATTTCTTGGGTTATTTTTTTTGTCACGCACACCCAAACAATTGCAATTTGCAACGAATTAATTGCGAGAGAAAAACACATATTTATTTATTTATTTTTTCATATGGCGAAGAGGGGAGAAAGCTCATGTTTTGGAGAACAAAACAGAACAAATTTTGTGAGCATTGTCTCGCCAAAATGAGTGAAATTACTTGGCAAAGCATGGCAATTAAAATACTCGCAAAGGGTCACAAATTCAATGGGGTGAATCGGAGGGAAAATATATTTTCTGCCCACACTTGCAAGTTTTATAGCGGAGTTCTCGTGGAAAATCTGGCGGGAGAGGCATGAGATGAGAAACTTAATCCCTCCCAGGCGCTTTTCGCGGCGGATTTGCATCATCTCTCCTGCGGAGATGGGGGGAAAATTCACGTGCATATAAATGCGAGATCACACTTGATTGTTTGCCTCATTCACGAACGAGCTGTACGCGCCGAAACTTCTTCTTACCTGCCCTCATCTCGCGAATTGTTCACTCTTTAACGATTGCATCCAGTGAGATTGGAAGTGATGAGATACGGAATGAAAATTGTATAGTTTTTTTTTTCTTCTTCTTCTATTATCTCCCCCTTTTGTGCATCGAAGATAGTGAGAAAATCTGCAATAAAAGTGAAGGAGAAAGAGTTTGATTAGTGATTGTTTTCCCAGCGTCTGGCTTTTCGCTCTAGTTTTCCAATTTTCCATAGGAGAAAAGCCCAGAGAGACATTATTAGTGATGTGGAAATTAATTGGAATATGTGCGACACTCTATGGATTACTTCTCTTGGATATCACAATTAATGCGGTTCGTATATTTATAACCATTCTTTCGTCGGCATTTTCGACATCATTTGTGGGAGAGAAGAAAAAAAAATATGAACACTTGAAAAATGGCATTTTTGCTGGCTTCCTGCAGAAATCACACACCATCTCGTAATGATGGAATATTGCGTGATGTTCGAGAATTAAAGAGCATTTGCATTTTGCGCATTTAATTGAAGTTCATCTCCGATAAATTAAAATACACATTTGTAACGCAATCTTAAGGATTTCTCACGATGCTATTACCTTTTCAAGGTTCTGTGCAATGGAGAGATTGAGAGAAATGGAAATCAAACGCTATGTTGCAATTGCGATGGAATATTCAGCCTCTCGAAGACTTTGATAGCTTTCCATGACAAATTCTTTTTATTATTTCATGAAGAAAGACAAACACAGAGATTAAGAACTCGTCTTTATCTGCGTTCATCTCATTAATCATATCTTTGCAGCTAGTAATTTGTTTTCAAACCGAATCTTGAGCCAAATTTGCAACCTTCTCGATCGTTTTATCAGAAAAGTGAATCTGTTTTCTCATCAATCATGGACAGTGGAATGCAATAGAGCGCGTGTTGAACAAGGCGCAGATTCTACTTCAAATATATTGACTAATTAAATGCACAAAACAATAAACGTACGCATGTGGTCGATTTCCTCATATATCGGCACAATTGTGAGATTAAGTGCAAAAGATTTTGATATGCTCTTGTATTCGTTTGCAGAGCATAATTCCGAGTGTATGTGTGAAATGTTTCACCTGTTCTTGATCGCAAAGGCATCAATTGTGTTTTCCGGGCCACGAAAGAGCGGGAAAAAGTAAAAGTGCAACTTCAATTGTTTGATATTCATCGTAGAAAAGCGTCTCAATATCTCTTCTCTCACATTATTTGCACAATTTTTGTTCCTCCTCAGACACACACATTTAATTATAAAGAGAGAATTTAATTCCAATTAGTGCAAATCTCTGCACTTCATCAGCATCAGTGGCTGGAGTGAGATTTCTAGGTGAAATGCAGTACATTTTTTCTGTCACTTGCAGCAAATCGACGGATACGAGGAGGGCATCGACTATCCAGCCTACGACTCCATTCCCAAGGATTTGTCCTTCTCGTGCCAGAACCGAATACCGGGATATTACGCGGACATCGAGGCGCGATGTCAAGTGTGGCATTGGTGTGTGAACGGAGGCCAGCATTACGCCTTCCTCTGTCCCAATGGAACAGTCTTCAACCAAGTGAGCGAGTTTTAAGTAACACTCAAGTCGACTAACAATCTTAGCCAAGAAAGTAATTCGCTTGGCGCATGAGAATTGTAATCTTTTTATTCTTCTCGTAAATCAGAAATATGAGATAAAAGTAATTGTCTTTTAATATTTCGCAACACTTAAACGCTTTTACGATTGATGGAAAATTGCTTTTATCTACTCAAACGATGTACTTAATTATGTAAATTGAAAAGCTCGTGAACTCTTCAATCATTTGCTGTGCTTGATAAAATCATAGAACGTTTAACTGATAACATCATTTTCGCATTTACAAATTAAAATCTCTCTTAAGCAATTATTCCTAGTCAAAGATCAATTGCAGAAATTCTTCTCGGTGGGAAAATATGCGTTGCTCTTACGCAACATTTCAAGAACTAACGAATGAAATGGTATCAAAATATTTTATTTTCTCTATATTTTGCTCTTCTTTCACCCAATTTCAAAGGCTTTCCGTGTCTGTGATTGGTGGACGAGCGTCGATTGTCCGGCTTCTGAGCAGCTGTACACGAACAACGAGGAATTGTACAAAGACGCCGAGGGCAATTTGATATGAGCGGCAGAATCCAGAGAAACTGGTGGTGGTTCACAGAGGAAGTCTGCAAAGTAGAGTTGCAGAAGCAAACTTTGGGCGCGCAATACCAACGAGTTTTCCAAAGACATCCCATCAAATACTCCCGGAAAATCTTCAGCAGTCCTGGCGAGAAATCAGCAAGTCAGCAGTTACAATTGGAAATGGAGACACTCACGCAGTTCCACAAATTCATCTGAGAATGGCCATTTTGGGGGATAAGAAGGCATCAATTTGACATTGAGAAAATTTAATTCAAAGAATTGGACACCCCAATATTTATTCACAAAATGTAATTGTGTATAATCTTATACTTTATATTATATTTAAATTATTTGAACAAGGCGAATATTTGTAAATTGTATGCGAGAAGGAATTAAAACATGTTTAGAAGACAAATACGAATTTCCAAATTCCAAAATTTTTATGAGAAATACATTCATGTAATATGTATAATTAATAGGATGAGCAAATAGAAAGTAAAGGAATTGTAAATGCTATTTTTCATTAAATTGAAAAATAAAGATTCCGATAATGTATTTATGAAAATGTGTTTTTTTACTATCTATAATTTGATTTTCTTAAGACATTCTCACAGAATGTAGTTAGACAATCCAATATTCTCATTGGATACATTGAAAGACTATCGACTTCATCTCCAATACGAATATCAGAAAATCCATTCAATTTTTCACAGTGTTAACGGTGCGATTTTGAAAATGAAATGCCAGCGTAAAAACTTCAGTTGCGCAGCTGAGTTTTTAGCCCTTTGTCAAAGTGGAGGAGATTCTCTGCGTAAAAGGATGTTTTATCTAATTTGATGTGCTAAAATTATCCAAAAGTTATCTTTGCAATGCAAGGAGAGCCTAGAGTGTAGAAGTAGTGCAGAACTGTTAGTGAATTTGTGAGAAAATTAGGCCAAAAGGTGGCAAAGAGAAAGTCTTTTGTGTCTCACAAAAAAAGGTCATCAAAGGCTTGTATTTTACAGCTTTTGGGCTTCAGAAGAGACAATTTTGAACACCAAGAAGGTGAAGAACAGTTTGCAATTGCAGTGCAGTCTGCATGTGAAGTGGTGCAGGAGGAAATTGGATTTCCCTGATCACCTAACCTCATTATTAGTGACTCTACTCTTTCATAATAATTGCAGGCGAAAAATCATTGAATAGTTGTGAACAATGAGCGATAATTGGGTGGGAAAGTCGATTTCCATCAACTGCTCGGAGCCCGGAGGAGTCTTCCAGGGCACGATCAAGGATGTCAGCCCAGAGGCGATTACGATTGTGCGCGCGTTCCGGAACGGAGTGCCCGTGCCGAAGCCGGAAACCGAGGTGACCATCGCCTGTGCGAACATCCTGAATCTGGAGCTGATTCCCGCTCCGCCGAGCAGCAATCTCGCCACTCATGCCATCAGTAAACCGACTCCGATTAAGCACCCCAACTTCCCGGTTGCCCCAATCCAGGAGAACGGCTCGCTGGCACGCATTCCAGTGCCGAGCACGTCACGCCAGGCGGCCGGCAAGGCCTCGCCGAGCACCACTGGCGGCACCAGCACCCTCATGAACAACGGGAAGTTCTATCCGACGAAGCAGTTCGAGTCGCGCAGCGTCTCGAAGCCTCTGGACATCGCGGCGCCGATGAAGAGCAACAACGGGGGCAGCGGCAGCTACAAGAACGACAGGAAGAAGTCCCGCAGGCAGTACAACAGCAAGAATGAGACATTCGGCACACCTGTGGATGATCCCATGATGGACGAGGACTTTGACTTCGAGAAGAATCTGGCGCTGTTCAACAAGCAGGCGATCTGGGACGAGATCGACGCCATGCAGAAGCCGGACCTCCTCCGGCAGACGGTGCCCACGCAGAGGCGCAAGTACCGGCACGACGAGAATGTGATCACGTCGGAGCCGGCGCAGCTGCGGCAGATCGAGGTGGACTACAACAGCTCCAGGGACTACGTGACGGGCGAGGGCCTCATCGTGCCGTCCATTCCCCTGATTGTGCGCAATCGCGTCCAGACGGCCGCCGAGGCGCTGGGGCTGTCGTGGGAGCGCCAGTGCGATGTGCTGGCGCGCGGAACGACGGAGATCGCCCTGCAATTGCTGGGCGGAGGGCGTCGCCTGGTGCCCAACAACTCCCATCAGTGGCCCACGATTGTGGTGATCTGCGAGGAGCCCTACAATGACAAGTGAGTTGAAGGCGCGCGTCTCACTGCGATACGCATAGTGAATTTATTGCATTCTCGTGATTGTGATTGAATTAGGAGCGAGAGGCAGATTTGATAATGTTTGATAACACTTTTCTGCTGACGCATTGTTGAAGACGTCTGATAAGATTTCAATGCAAATTCCGGAAATTTCCTAACAAAATAATATCCTCTTGTTGTTCTCTCACACTCGCCTTATCTTAGACATCGCAGCAAATTAGATAAGACTGATGGCCTTGCTTAACGCTTGTCCTGCTGTCTTTTGCAGGAAATCCGAGATCGGCATCTGCACTGGACGCCAATTGGCGACGCAGGGCCTGAAAGTCGTGGCGTACGTGCGTGAGTTCTCGCACCTGAGCCACCCGAGCCGAGAGTTGGACCTCTTCAATGCCACTGACAGCGCATTCACCAACAACGTGAAGGAGCTGCCGTCGGGCGTGGACTTGATCATCCTGTCCGTGCGCTCGGCCATCCTCACGCCGGTGCTGCTCAAGTGGATTAACGAATCTCGCGCGTCGGTGCTCGCCATCGATCCGCCGGTGCATGGAATCAGCCAGGTGCAGATCAAGTGCTCGATTCTGCCCATTTTGCCGCTGGACGACATCAATCGCCATGCGTGCGGAAAGCTGTACCTCTGCAACCTTGGTATTCCCGACAAGTTCTTCCGAGAGGCGGGAATCAAGTACAAAAGCCCTTTTGGCCATAAATTCGTAATTCCAATCCATTTGGTTGAGTAGAGAGAGAGAGAGAGAGCGAGAGCAAATCATCCTGGCTCACGAGACTGACATGGAGATGATGTGACACACAAGAACGGCTGAGATGCTGAATTCGCATTTCATCTTGCCGACAAAGAAGGTTGTTTTTTGGGAGGAGGAGTAAGAAAAGTTGGACCAATTGCGCATTTCAATTTTACAGTATAATTTCTTTTTCGATCACCACCTGAGTTTTACCTGATGAAAGTTTGTTTAGCCACTTGTTTTTACTTTTCTGGATAATACTGTTATTTCGTCGTATATAGCTTTCAAAATTTGTATCAAAATTCTTTTATCAGTTTATCAAATTTCAAAATCTACATTGCACAATAAACTTATCAATTGGCCCACATTTTTACGTGTTTTCTTTCACTGGTTCTCCGAAGATAAAGGCAAAGGAGAGGCTTCAAAATAGATTCAATAGGTAAGGACTAAGTGTAATCCTTAAATGTCTAGATTTTAGCGCTTATTTTACTGAAATGATATGCGAAAATTACAACTGGTTTTCTGATTAAAAATCGACAGATCTGAAGAAGAAAATCCTTGTATGCAATCAAGGATCAAAATACTTATAAAGCGCGGTTCGAAGCAATTCAAATTTTGAGAATGTCGGCCAAACGATCGATCGCGAAACCTTATCACGCACAAGCAGTTCACAATTTTGATATCGCCTTATCATTGTAGAGCACTAATAGGGGATTCTAAGAAATTGCCTCCGATTCCAGCTTATTTGGAGATGATTCTCTGGCTAATTCGCGAGCACTGAAGACTTTTCCGGAAGTTCGAAACTATCGCGCGGTGATCTAGTGATATTTCGGCGCTGCATTCGGCCATTCGAACACAGCCCAACTGTCACTGCGTAGTCAGGTGCACACAGTGAGTGAAGTGTGCCTCGTGATCGACGTTTTTGTTCCCGTTCTCATTTTGTTGACTCTTTTCTCCTCTGTAGAAGAATCCCTGCCCTGTTTTCTGCCAAGTGGGAGAAGCGTGGAAAGGCGCGTGTGAGTCTCCAAAGTGGATCTGTGCGTTTTCCTCGGCGCCCCATTTGCTGCTGTCCGAGTAGTGGCTGTGGATTCTTGACTGAGAGACACTGTATTTGTCGCGCTATTTCGCGTGTGTTGTGTGTGCCAATTCCACATAAACTTCCAGCGCCAACTCCCCATTGTTCCAGTGGATGCCAGTGGAAAATCTCCGCGGACGCGTTTGATGGCCCACAATGTCGTCGCTCAGCACATTCAATTACCAGCCTCAGGTGCCGCAACGTCCGCGGCGCAGGGCGCAGTCTGTCGTGACCCAGGGCCCCACGGTGACCTCCTCGCCACGGCGATCCCTCTTCGAGCTGACCTCAGTAAGTGTGCGTCGCTCCCCTTGCAGACGAGGCTCCCCTTGCGCGATAAGATTGCACAATGGAGGCTCTCTCGGCGCTGTGTGCGTGAATCTCTCTCTCTCTCCCTCTCTATCTCGAATAGAAAATAGAAAACCCGCCCAAGGACGCTGTTCCCGCGATCGCATCTTGTGTGTAAAGACCGTATTTTCACCTTCGCGCGCGCATTTCCGACCCCCAAAAATATCTCACCTCTTTTGGCATTTTCCGCGCCCTTCGAACAGCGCGTTGGCTCGACGTTTTTTGACGTGTGCAATGCGCTCGACGCGACGCACGGTGGAAAACGGGTGCGCGCATGCAAATTTCGATGGGCGCGACGTCACGCGGAACCGTTATCGTGTTTTTCTTTCCTTCATACGTGTTGTTTTTGCTCGCGGTTACACGCTACATTTGAGGTATAAATATTGCGAGTTTGTATGGAAAACCTGTTCAGTGGCGGAAGGAATTCGCACACAATGACAACGGGTTTTCTCCCAGGCACTCCGTGTCACAGAGCATCGAGCGCAAAGTATGCAATGTCGGGCGCTCAGGGGGCAACTCTGGGGTTCACTGATAAAACGCCTCCAGCAGATCTGAAGGGTTAAGCGAAGGATGAAAAAGTAGGGGACTGCGGGGTTATGCTTTTTGTCTATTTGTTTAAATTGAATAAACTTGCCAAAAACTATAGAAATCAATAGCAAAAATCAGTCTTTAAAGTTACCATTATTATCCAAGCTTCTTTTTTCGTGAAGCATTAACGAATTTGGAATACGTAATTCGAAAAATGGTAAAAATAGAATGGGTAAGATTTGTAGGTGAAATTTTCTTAATTCCTTGAATTTTATCAGAGCGTTTGAAGATGTCAAAGCGTGTGAAACTGCTCGGAATTCCCCTAGCTTAGATTAAAATTTCTACGATTGCAAACTCGTGCGACAGCGCAAAAAGTTCAAGAAACGAGGGTTAACCTTCAGATACAAACAACGTAAAATTTTTTTCATGCTGAAATTGTGGTATTTAAATGTCTTGTGCCATGTATTTATGTTATTTGACAAAAATCACACAATTTTGGGCCACTTTTTCAGCACACAAGAAAAAAAAAGTATATAGAAAATCAGAGGTTTGATAAGTAAGACACTTTTTTTTGTCTATACCCAAAGAATGGAGAAAAATTATTGCATGTGAGGGGATTTTGTGATGAAATTTAACAATAAAGAACTCTACTGTCACCTCTTTTTTTCCGTCTCTATCGCAATAATCTCACACAATACTTGCTTTGGGTGTTGATTAGATAAAATGACTGTGTGAAGGAGCGATAGGGGCGAATACAGAGTCAAAAATTCACCACAAATTTTCCTCTTTTAACTTCTTCACGCTCGGGGAAGCAAATAGAAGTTTATCGGGTGGCCAGAAGACTTTTTGACTTTTCGAAGGGCAGCACGGTTTTGCCGCACTTCGCAGTCTCTTTCTGTGTGGCAAAAAAAAAATTTGTGTAGAGAGAGAAAATCAGACATATTTGTGAATGGTTGTGCATTTTATATATCTTTTGCAATTGAAGTGTGTGTTTTTCTCATAAATTCTTACAGTCTGGCTGCCCCTGAAACACTAATTTATTCACATCCGCGACAATCGTCCACATGTGTGTACGTATGGTCTTCCTTCCCCCTCTTCTTTATCTCTTCTCCAACACGAATTTTGCCTGGAGTTTTATTTGTGAAAAGTTTAACTATTTTCACGGTCCGCTGAATTGTTCTTTTTGCACGAAATATTACGCTAAAATGTTCAATATTCGCTACGCAAGCGGACTAATTGTGTGTGCAATATTGAGTGAGTTCAGAAAAATGTCGTCATTGATTTGGAAATAGTGCACACTTGAGGCAGTGATGTCATCGGAATATAACTTTTATTGTACTCTGATATTGAACAGATACAGTGAGAAATTCTGTGTTATTTGTAGAGTATAGAAAAATGCTCGTATTTTTGCTATATTTTAAGAGTAACCGAAAATCTAGTAAAAGTGCAAAAATAGGGTTAACAGTGACCCCATTTTCCTCATCCAGAGAAAGTATTTTACAAATGAAATAATGTGTCATAGCAGAAAGATAAAAGATAATGGCAGAAAATGGTGGAAAACCATGCAATGGAATGCTGATTAGGAAAATTGACTGATTTTCATTCAGCAAAACTTTCAATCATTGGGAAAGTTTTAAAACTGGAAAGTGTTAAATTGAGTGTTCCAAGATTAGAGACAATCTAATCTAATATTTTCCGACTGATAACTGAATAACCTACAAAAAGAGAGCATGAACTGCTTTGCACGTAAAAGTGCGTTCATATTGTCCTCTTTGGCATCATTTAGAGTTAATAATATTCTTTTGTCTGGTGTCTAATGTTTAGTTTCTATGCACATTGCGAAATGACTAATAGAGAAATTACAGACAATAGAACAGATCCGAGACGAATGATATAGTTGACACGGTGTCAATTGTTATTAGCGCCTTTTGGTAAAGAGAGAAAAGTGCAATTAAATTGATGGAAAATTTTTCCACAGACCTTTGAAATCTAGACAGTGAAGAGTGATTATTGAAAATATCGAAGAATTAGTTTAAAACACGTCTATATTTTCTTATTTCTGTGGAAAAATGTGTGCTATTTACTAGAATTTTGCTATTCTTATGAAATTCCCATGCATATGGGAAACGTTTCTCTTAAATTTCATCCCCGGAACCGCCCTTGAACTACAATTTCGAATTTTCGGAAAGAGTGTGCGAACTCGACTGAGAATTCGCTCTTTCTCTCTCTCTGGCGATGTCATGACGTGCGGAGAGCGAGCAAAGAGAGTGAGTGAATTTCTTTGGACGCACTTGAGTCGTGCGACTTTTTCCCCTGATTTTCCTATTTTTCCGGCACAAAGACCCGTGAAAAGTGCTCCAAGAGACTTTCTAGATGCTCTAGTTTAGTGTTTGTGTGAAAATCAATTCACAAGAGACGATTGGAGTGTGTAAATTGCACCTGGAAGTTTGGTTGGAGAGAAAATTTTCGGGCGTGTGTGAGAAAAAAAAAGACGAGAGATCTCTGGGGTGTTCGAAAAAGCAATGGCTGATGATACAGTGTTTGGATATTTGCCTGATTCTCATGGCGATTCTGTGAGTTTTCACCCTCGTTGTGACCTAATATTGCTTCTTGATCACTTCCCTGTGGAAGGGTTGCGGATTTCTTGCCATGTCGCGATGTGGCGGTTCAATAAAAGCCATAGAAAATTACTCGTGACGTTTGAGATGTTGTGTATTTCCCCGCAGTGGGATTCTAATGCTCCTCCATTGACGCACACATCGACAGTCGGGCCAAAGAGAGAGAGAGAGATTTGAGTTGTGCCACGAACGGAGAGTGAATTCCGTGTGAATCATCTCGCATTTCTTCCTACATTCTTTCCTATTAGCGAGAGATTTTTGTGTAATTAATTTTATCCGAAAGAAAAAGAAAAACGTCGTCCTGAGAGAGAAATTGCGAAAAGTAAATTGATAAGAGAAATGTGTGTAAATATCTCTGCAACAATGTTTGTTGATCTTGTGAAAGTGTCAAAAGAGAGAATATTTACTGGGGTGCAAAAAGAAACAATCTCTTATCAACACGTTCTCGATTCTTTTTCTTTCTTTTTTTTCCTGCATAAACAACAATAATTTGTTGTTCTTTCCGCTTTAATTGCAAAATGGTGAGGAAAATGTCTGTGGAGGACACGCGAGAGAAGATGGTGTTGTGCCTGACGACATGGTCACAACACAACTAATTATCAATGGTTTCTTAATCAATTTCCATGCTAAATTGCTGCGATGGAACAAGCAATTTTCCTGAGAATCTTCCTCATTTCACACTTAAAGTCTCGTGTGTGTGTGTGTGTGGAGTAATTTGATGTGAATTGAGAAAACTAATGGTTTTCCCTCTCTTTCATTGTCTATTTTGCAGAGTGAAGAAGGAACTAGTCAGATTAGGATCAAAGTGATAGCTGGACATACTTTGGCCAAAAAGGATATCTTCGGTGCTAGGTGAGTTGTGCAGAATGAAGGACGAACTCTCTCTCTGTTTCCTAAACTTACCACACTTTGTGCTGCATGAAAATTACCAGAATGTCCTTGATGGGAATCCAAAATCCTATTGATTTTCTCCACTTTCCTTATCCCTTCTCACGCCTCTTTAATCTCGCTTGTTGTTTAAATGCTGTTACTCATGAAACGGCATCATTTACATACATTTTAATTACAGTACATAGAATAGAAGTAAACTCAGTGAAAATAGCATCGAAAGTGCTCTTTTTTTTCACTTCACGTGTAGATTGTTTCATTCATTCAGTCTTCTGCTATTGATTTTTCATATGGTTGACAGTGGAAATTACCAATCCATCGGATAATTAATGAAAAAGCAATAATTCACTTTGATGTTTATGCATAAAATGATATTGAAATTCATTTGAGTTGTTAAAAGCTCCAATAATTATAGGGTCGCGATGCCCTTTATGGCTTTGTGCACATTCAAATAGCCAAAGCGAAAGAGAGTCTTTAATAGATATTTTTATAATTTCCTTTCCATCACATTGCATTTTGAATAAATATGCTATTTTAGTCATAATAATTAACTGAACTTAGCGCTCAATTAATAAATCTAATAACATTTCTGTGTGAATTTTGCGTAGTAAAATTGTTTTTATTGGCAATGTGACAAAATAACTCTCCATATTATCTCTGGCATTTCTCAGTGGAGATGTATATTTGAAAAAAATGCTGATAAAAAACAGGAAAGTTTCAAAATCCAATTTATTCACAATGTTTCATCACTCTGTTGGTTGAAAATTGAGAGTTGTACATTGTTAATAGAGAGATTGTAGAGCCAAATAGGTGTTTATACATAGTTGTCGATATTCTACTAATGTAGTTCGTGTTCAACATGAGTGCGAATAGCTATAACAGTATCCCAAAATAGTGTGTAAACTCGTCTTTGGGTGAGAATGCGTGGCTCTGTATAGTATTTATGTGGCGCTAAGGCAAACATTGACATTGATTTGTGGTCATATCATACTCATGAACCATCCAGATGGTTTACTATTGACTCGTCAGTTTGTATACAATGTAAAATTATAAATTAATTTACTGTTTACACACCACTAAATGACGATTTTCTCTCTACTTCCTCAATTTTAATAGTGATCCATATGTGAGAATTGACCTAAACACGATAAATGGCAACATTAACATCGATTCAGTACTTACAAAGACCAAAAAGAAAACCTTGAACCCCAAATGGAATGAGGAGTTTGTGTTTCGGGTGAGTTTCCCTCTTTTTCTCTTGTATCTCTCAATGTGTCTTCTCGAAGATGATTTGCTGGGATTTCCTTCTAATTAAATGACTTTTTTTCTTAATGTGTTTTTCTCTATTGCAGGTGAAACCCGGCGAACACAAGCTCGTATTCCAAGTGTTCGATGAGAATCGCTTGACGAGAGACGATTTCCTGGGCATGGTGGAATTGACTCTTGTGAATTTGCCTAAGGAACAGGAGGGCAGGACGATTCCGCCCAAAAGTTACCCACTCCGGCCACGCAGGTCAGTTGGGTAGGTTAATTTGGCTTCTGCTCTGATTTTGTTCTAATTATGTTGCTCTCTCTCTCTTTCTTTTCATTCCGCCTACCCTCCCCCTTCTCTCACTCACACCGCCAATTGAGTTTCGATGTTGAATGCGAAACAATTTGCAAACTTGAGAATGATATTGGGCATGTCTTATGGTGTGCTGTACATTAAGTCAATTGCATGCACGATGGTTTTTTATGCAAAAATATTTTATGAGCCTTGCAAAGTCGTTTGATGGTCAGTTTTTTATTGGATCTACTGTTGCTCGCAGTAAAAGGTTCTTTTTTTTGCCTGTGTATAATATTTTTTTCAAATGATACTTTTCTGACATCATTCTCTTCTCTCAGTGAAGATGATTTCATATTACAATTAATGCTGGATGCTCATGATTGTTTCTTTTTTTCTCATTTGCAACAATTTGTGACTTGTATAGAGGTGGAAAATGATTTATCTCTCTGTCAATTGATGAATTTGTAGAGACTTGATGACAAATTTTGATTTAACTTTATTGTTAAAATTGATATTTTGTGCAAAAGAAAACAAGTGGAAAAAAGAGCTGTGAATGCATGATTTTCTTGTCATGTTGGCATAATTATAATTTATTTTTGCATTTGATTGAACTAACAGGTGAGCCAGAGAATTATTAGTTTAGCGATGATGCCTGAGGAAGAAGAGTTACGCACTTGTGGCACAATTAAATATTATAGCTGACTTTGTCCGTATAATATTTGATATTGCTGCAAGTTGAGGTCTGTGTTGATTTAGGTGAACTTTTACTCTCATCTAATGTTTCCATCTCCATAATCCCTTTGAATTCTTGACAATAGATTAATAGAGAATTTTTCTCCCTGTTTCTCCTGATTGACGACATATGTTTAGTGCTCGATCTCGGGTTCGCGGCACTTTGGATATCTATCACGCCTTTATACGCGATCTGGATTCAACCAGTGAGACGTCGGATTGGGAGATTGTCGATGACGGAGCCAGCAACAGTGACAGCTCGGGCACACCGATAAATGCATCATCGCTGTTTGGATCATCGGGTGTGGAGGCACTGCCGCAGGGCTGGGAGGAGCGCCAGGACGCCAACGGGCGGACGTACTACGTGAATCACATTGCGCGCACGACACAGTGGGAGCGCCCCACGGCACTCACGAGTAGCGGTGTGTCGGAGGAGGAGATGAACAACGCGGCGGCAGAATTCCATCGACGCTTCCATATCAGTGTAGATGAATCGGATTCGAGGAGTAATCAGGTAATGATTCTGACTCATTTTCTGCCGGAAAAAAACACACATTCTCAACTTTTCATTCCTGTGTGTGATTTATTGAGACACATATTCGACTTCTTACATTATCTTCACACACTTTTTTTTTCTTATCGTATAATCGCAAATTGATGATTCTACTTTTGAGTCTTCTTTACAACCACATTTTCTTATTTTTTGCGCGACTCTCGCCTTCCACATTCAGCCGGCAGATTGCATATTGTTTCTTTCTCATCATTACATTTGCATGCGCGTTCCTCAATTGTGTTGTTTTTCTTCTTCTGTGTTTTCTCGCATGACTGGCCAATTGCAATTTCACTACTTTTGGGGACAATTTAACTTGAAGGACTTTTTTGCAAATGACGATGTTCTCCTCACTGTTCATGAGGCACTTTTGGAGAGTTTTCACGATGGGGAAATGTGCTGTATTTCCACTGTCGCCGCCGCTCTTCAAATGACGGATGATGAGGCGGATGAAATAGTTGATGAAGCCACTGAGGTGCTTGCTCAGTCACCACACTTTGTGTTTGTGGTAAAATTGTAGTGTATGAAGCTCATGAGTCAGTCCTCAAATGTCAAATGCACAGTAAACAAATCTCTTTAACTAACAATGAGACATAAACCATGGGCAGGCAAGCAGAGATCCTTTAATAACATCCATTTAGAGGCTAAATCTTCCTCAATTTCGCGATTTGTTAGTGCTGTAGTTGGTTGGTTTCTAATTAATTTTTTGGTATGTGAGTAAATGAGAGAAACCGCGTTTTAGTTTCAGAATCAATCTTTAGTATTGTTCAGCCGTATAATTGCTATGGAAGGCAAATGCTCTTGTGAGTTCTCTAATTACAAGTGGGATGAAGAACTGGGCGGGACAATTGAGTGGGCAGAGCGACCAAAAGATAGTGGAATATTATAGTGATCTGAAATTATTACACATTTCTTCTTTTCTAAAAATTATTCACAAATTACATTAATCATTTACACACCTTTATAAGAAATGAAGAGAAATTTATTGCAGAAATTATATTTTTCTCCACGGGAAACTAGTTTCTTTCATTGAGGAAATAAATGATTTGATAAAATAATTGCTTACAGATCTCAAGAAATATATTTATATGAATTCCAAGTTAATTAATTCTTTAAAGAAAACTAGCTGAAAATTTAGCCAAGAGCCATAATAATAATATCAAGGAAGCTAATTATCGTGATTTTGCAAGAAACACAAGAACAATATGTGATTGTTTGAGGAAAATGTCTTGAAGCTCTTATTGCTAATTGCTGCTATTGACAATATTAATTATGGATGAAAATGCAAGTGAAGCAGAACAATCAATTCTATTAATACTGCCAATAGATTATTACATAAATTGACGCAATGGTGCGTTGTTTTATTGATCAACAAAGAGCGGAAAATTGCTTGAAAATTGTGTGTGTATGAAAGAAAAAACCTGTGCCCAAGTAGAAGTAATTCAACAAGTTGTTTAGATTAGAACTATCTGCACATTTAATTGAGCTTTTCCACTGCTGTGCTATGAAAAACCAGTATTCTTCTGACACTCGCGTTGACAGTTGCTTCTCATCTCCTCATTTTTTTTTGTTGTTGTTGTTAAATTTGATTTAATTTTTCCTAATTTCTCTCTCTCTCTTTCAAATTATCTCGTCTCCTCTTCGTGTGTTGTCTTGCGTCCTGTGGGATAAAAAAATACACACTTTATTCCAATATTTTGTGTGGTGGAAAATCATGGCACGATAAAAAAAAGGGTGATAACATGAGTTTGAGCTCTGAGATGGGCTTTATGGGTTCGGTGACTTCACTCAATGATCTCAATCGATCGGGTTCCATGAGTTCCAATCACAGCACGACCGGACGCCCAACGAGACCAGCGCCGAGTATTCCGCGTGATCATCAGCTGCACAGAACCAATGCCACGCGCCGAAAAGCTCCGATTCCACCTTCCAGGTGTGTGTGTGTTGTCTTCATTGTCACTGTCCTTTGTCTCTTGATTAGGCGAAATTATGCCTTTCTGTGTGTGCTCGCTCACAATATATTTCTGTGCTCGAAGAAGATGATCACAGAAATGTCCAGAGAGTGGGAGCACATCATTGTTGTGTCCTCTCTTACACATCTTTCCTCTAATGACTAGATTAACCACATCTCCTGTGGTCAGCGAGGGGGGAAGCAGTGGTCCCAGTAGAAGGCATTTGCCAAGGAATAGAAATTCACTGGAGGACAATGAGGAGCAGAGTAACAGTGAGGTGAGAATGCTGTGCCTTTGGTGTCAAGGAAGAGTCTTTCTCTCTCTCGCATTTAGTTGAATTCCCGGCAATTTTGTGGACACTCTCTTGGAAAAATACCACCAAGAATTCTTCCCCAAGAAGCTTTTGTCCCCATCTTATTTGCGCTCATATTTTATTTATCTGTTTTGATATAGAGTGTCTCTTATGTTGCACCATTTTTATTTTGGGCATTTTGGTCTATTAGAGAAAACAGAAGAAAAGAGAAGCCTTTTGTCTCGTCGTTAGTTTGAAACGCTTAGTATCAATGATTGTATGCTGTGTTTCCTAAGCTAATCATGCAAAGAGCATTGTGCTGTGATGGATTTCTTGTTAAATTGCTGTTTTAATAACTTGTCTCTGTGTGTATTTTTGCAGAATGAAGATCTTGACACGTCCGACAGTGGAGCGGTTACTAATAACCAGGTGCGCTCGCCGTCAACGCCACAGTCACGGCAGAGCTCCACGGAAGACAACTCGGCCACGTCATCGCCGGACACGACGGCGTCCTCCAATCCAGACACCACGGGACTTCCGCCTGGTTGGTCGATGCAGGTCGCGCCGAATGGTAGGATATTCTTCATTGATCACAATGAGAGGAAGACATCGTGGGTGGATCCGCGCACCGGCCGTGCCAGTCCAATGCCCAATGCAGCGGGCAGATCGCCGGCCAGTCGGAAGCCAGAGGACGATCTTGGGCCGCTGCCGGAGGGCTGGGAAGAGAGAGTCCACTCAGATGGGAGGATCTTCTATATTGATCATAGTGAGTGATGATTTGCTATTCAATTTATGTGAAGCATTTGCTAATTTCTCTCAATTGCTCTCTTTGTTTTGCAGATACAAGAATTACTCAATGGGAAGATCCGAGAATGTCAAATCCAAATATCGCCGGACAGGCTGTCCCGTATTCACGTGACTACAAGCAAAAGTATGAATACTTCAAGAGTCAACTGCGAAAGCCAACAAGTGTTCCCAACAAATTTGAGATTAAAGTGCGACGAGCATCAATCTTCGAGGATTCATATCGTGTGCTCAATTCTGTGACGAAAACTGATCTCCTGAAGACGAAGCTTTGGGTGGAGTTTGAGGGTGAGGTGGGATTGGATTATGGCGGTTTGGCACGTGAATGGTTCTTCTTGCTGTCGAAGGAGATGTTCAATCCATACTATGGACTCTTTGAGTACTCCGCCATGGACAATTACACCCTGCAAATTAATCCATTCAGTGGACTGTGCAATGAGGAGCATCTCAACTATTTCAAGTTTATCGGACGTGTTGCTGGAATGGCAGTGTATCACGGAAAGTTGTTAGATGGTAATGTCGCATTGTTGTGCGCTATTGGCATGAGTTTTTCATGCAATTGTAACACAATTTCTTTCACAATTGCAGCATTCTTCATTCGACCATTCTACAAGATGATGCTTCAGAAGCCAATTGACTTAAAAGATATGGAGGCTGTTGATATGGAATACTACAATTCACTGCTATGGATTAAGGAGAATGATCCGAGTGAACTTATGCTCACGTTTTGTATCGATGAAGAGACATTCGGTACGACAAATCAGAGAGAACTCAAGCCTAATGGCGCCAATATTGATGTGACGAATGAGAATAAGGATGAATATATTCGCCTTGTGATTGAGTGGCGATTTGTGTCACGCGTCAAGGAGCAGATGCACGCTTTTCTCGATGGCTTTGGATCTGTTGTGCCACTGAATAGTCTCAAAATATTCGATGAGAATGAACTGGAGTTGCTTATGTGTGGCATACAGAACATCGACGTCAAAGACTGGAAAAAGAATACACTCTACAAGGGCGACTACTATGCAAATCATGTTATTGTTCAGTGGTTCTGGAGGGTGAGTTATACAAGTTGTGTCTTCACTTCCTGTTGCTTTATTGCCAATTCCTTCTTTTTCCTCCTTACTTGTTTGGCTATCAAAGAGGGGGGTTTTTGCATTCATTTAGTTTTCGCATGAGTGACTAAAAGAGTCCTTTTTTTGTGTCTCTTGCAGGCTGTTTTGTCTTTCTCAAATGAGATGCGAGCAAGACTGTTGCAATTTGTGACTGGAACATCGCGTGTGCCGATGAATGGCTTCAAAGAGTTGTACGGATCGAATGGTCCGCAAATGTTCACGATTGAGAAGTGGGGAAATCCTGAAAACTTCCCGCGAGCTCACACATGGTAAGTGAATTGATTCTAACTGCTTCTCTCGTTCGCTCCTCACGATTTGCCTCTCTTTATTTTCTCTTCTTCAGTTTCAATCGTCTGGACTTGCCGCCGTACGAGAGTTACTTGCAGCTAAAGGATAAACTGATTAAAGCCATTGAAGGGAGTCAAGGATTTGCTGGTGTTGACTAAGGAGAAGAAGAAGAAGAAAGTAGATTTGATAAATTGTCGTGTTTTATTAATAAATTTTCTCTTACTTTAAGATGAAGAGTTATACAAGCATACACGATTTTATAAGCTTTCAGAGAAAAAAAAAACAATCTTATCGATTATATCCAGGGTTCATTTCTTCCTCTCGTCTTTCTCTACAAATATGTAATATCTGACATTTGACCAAATATTCTATGCAAAGAAGATGAAAAGAAAAAAAAATTGTGAATTATTGCTCTTGGAAAATCTTGAAATTAGCCGAATTTGTGAAAAATTGTAATGTAAAAAACTATTGGGTATTGAATTTTTAACATTCCCTTCTAATCTTATGCCAATATCTTATTTTTTCCTGCAATATATATGTGTCTTCTTGACGTGTATTCACGCAATAAGGAATAAGTGAAGATGAGAGTAGCAAATTTTTTGAGTTGTCAGTGTTTTTGGATATAAAAACAAGAACAGTATATGTAGAGTCAGTGGAAAAATACGATGAAAACAAGTTATTGAATAGGAAAGATTAAAAAAAAGAAGAAAAAAAGAGAAACACTTACATTAAATGTAGTTGTGAATATATCAGTAATATAATTTATTTCTTATTAATCGTAAGCTACTTATGTTCTAGTTGTGTTTTAATTTTTTTTCCAATTGATATATGAAAAAAAGTTTTGCTGTAAAGGGATGAAACTTTAAAAAAAAAAACGAATGCCAAATTTCTTAATCTGTAATACTTACAAAAGTTTAATTTTTTTTATTTTTCCCCTCTTGTCGTGGGCATGAAAATATTATTATGAAGAAGAAAAAAAGTGTTATTTATCGGAAGCGTAAAGGATTTTTTGTAAGATTTGTACGAGAATGGCGAAGTTTAGACGTGTTAAATGGTAGAAAAGTGATTTGATTTCCCAAAATTGAATGTCAGTCGTTTAGTTCATTTTTATCCGTTCGGAACATAAATAGTGCCTTTATTCACAGAAGAGATAAAATATAAATAATTGCAATCAATCCAATTCATGCCAGGAATAATTGAAAGGAAGAAAAAAATTGATGAAAAAGACTGGATGCGGGTGGAATGATGGCCGCGAGGGTGTAATTAAGGGTAAAAAAAAAATGATGAGAACAAGAATGGAGGAAACGGGAAATTTTTCTCTCAGATTAAAAGAAAAAGAAAAGAAAATGTAATCAGCATTCTGTCTATGAAATCATACAATGAAGTGTTTTATACATAATACAAAATTTTACATCTTATGCTATATTCTTATTGCGAAAGGATTAATGAGTAAAAAAAAATAGGAGAAACAAGTTACAATTTGTATTTGAGTGGAAGATCTATATTACCTTTTTGTAAATATGATTACAATTATTCAGTGGCCTGTTACATTTAATTATATTATTTTATTATAATTATTATTATGGAGTAAATATAATTATATGAAATGTAAGGTAACAGAGAGGATGTGTTACGTTGTAATACTTTCAACACGATATGTGAAATCAGGAGAGAATAATAAATTTGAAATTGAAAGGAAAATGGCGAGTGTTTGTGTGGGGATGCGTGGAAATTGGGGAGTAAAAACAATGGATAATGTCCAGGAATCAGCATTCAAGCGGGGAGTCTTCACGTGAGAGAAACATGTGGAGCGAATGGGGGTTAATTGATACGAGTTTAGTTGCATAGATGGCGAGCTATTAGGGCTGATTTATTGGCTCCGCATGGGAATCTTCTGCTTTGCGAAGCAGTGCCGTGTGTAGAGAGATGAGAAGATGTCCCTGGAGTGCCTCACAGGACGCCACTGCTGGAGGATCTGCACGAATGCGGGTGGATGATTCCACCCGCAGCAAATGTACTTAAAGACGAAATAATTGTGGCAATAATTCTGGGATTTCTTCCCACCGCGCGTAGCCTTATCATATTTTTTTTTTCCCTCTCGTCTCAACATAATAATGACACTCTTTTGTGGTGGATCAGCCATGAATGCTTGATGGTTTCACGTGGATATTGCAACATAAAAGAAACCCAATTTGCATCACATCCCCAGACGGCCGTCGAGGCCAATATTGAGCCTCCCACGGCGCAAATTCCCTCGCAGCCCATTTTTCCTAGAGCCAAAAGTGGAAAAACTTCCACGCACTTTGTGCTGTCGTCATCATCATCAGGCACTGTCACACGCTTCTTCGCCGATATGATTTCATATCTCTCTCTGGGCTGATGCTGAGCCGCGTGAGTCGTGTTGGGGTATAAATGAGAAATGGCAAGCCGCTCTAAATTGATGTGAATATTAGGAGATTGATTTTAACAGGCGATAAAAGTTCAGCAATCCCATCGACGTTCCATAGAGATTGTCCACATCTGCTGCCTTTCGCACATCCAATATCAATATCAGCGCAATGACGCACGAAGGAATTCTTCCAGGCACTCAATGCAGTAAAATGAATACATCTTTTTTTTATTTTACTGCGGATTTCTTCTACTTTCATTCCGATCAATGTTTGTGTCGTAAAATTGCATTTTAATGACTCGTGTGCACACGTAAAATTCATGTATTTGGATGTGTTGGACATGCTTTAGAGGTGTTTCATCAACAAAACTATGCTATATTGACCACCTTTATTCCTCTTCAGATGGTGTTCTCATACTCACTCTTCTTACTATTCTTCCTAGAGCTTCAGCTAAACTTCCACCAGAGATTAACACTTCCTCTCAGAGACAAGAAAAGTTTCCATTTCTCAGCAGACGAATGATTTCAATACACACAGCCAGAATGAAGTCACGAGTAGTCATGCAGACATGCGAAACAAATTAGATGAATCCGGGAAGTGGTCAACTTTTGACCATTGTGTCCTCCCACTTGGTCAGTTGCGTGTCGACTTTTCCGCATGTCCATTGGGTGCGGGGAAACTTCCGATAAAGAGAAGTTGATGGAAAAAGTTTCTATGTCACTCGGTCGCATGTCTTCCATGTCTTGCTTATTGCACACTTTTTCTATTGTCCGAAAGCCAAGGAGGAGACTCTCCCCATGGAAATGTTGTCAATGAATGTATTTCCGAGTGATTTTATCACGCCATAAATTTTTTATCACTCTTGTCCATTTTATAGAAGAGTCATTAAGCTGGCCACCATCTTCGTCCTTTCCGCTTTTTTTACCATCACGAAATTCGCCACTCTCTCTCTGGGTCTGCATGGCAATTTTATCGGGTTTTTCTTCCTCACCCCGATTTCCAACCATAAATGTGAACTCGCATGTCCTTCTCAACTCACTGCCTGTCCACTGGCGAATGCCAAATGAAATCTTGAGACGTATAACAAAAGTAATCATGTGAAATATTGCACGACAGACATGAGAAAATTCCCCCTTGAAGCATCATCGCACACTCGCCAATCTGAGCATTTTGCAGAGAGACGAGAGGGTGGCAAAAATTGCCCAGCACAGTCTGGAAAATGTGTATGGACAAATTTGATGTGTGTGGCAGATAAGTCCTTCCTGATTATCCTCACCAGACACGGAGAGTCCGCTGGGACGCACTCGCCTGTTTGAGCGTCTCTCCACTGCCTGTGGTGAATAAGATTGGGCGCAGTCGGGGGCTCTGCTGCCAGCAAATTCCCCTCTGGAGTTGTGTGCCTGTGATGACATGGAAATTGATGGAAATCTCAAGGAAAATCCACTCAAAAGAGTTCCCCACTGAAGCCACAGAAAAGAGATTAAAAAGTGCCAAAAGGCCTCCATGTTGAATGTCTTTAAATTTTTATCTCACATCTTAAACACTTTTGCAAATAGTTGGGGAGCCTTTTTTGGATCTCAAGAGGGACGAATAGCATGAAGAGTCATGAATAAGAAATATTGGGCAAGAGGAAGAGTAGCACACTTTCTCTGGTCACAGTTGAAGGCTTGAATTTCATTTTATAAATAATTTTTGACTGCTGAATTTCTGGAAATCTTTAAAATCGATGGAAAGCCTTTAATTAACTTGCAAGTGTTCAGAAAACTTACAAAGGAACTGATAAAATGACACATCACGAGCAATTTACATGCATTGCACAGAATATGCTGTGAAAGAAAACACCCAATTTCTATACATTCCATCGAATGAGAGATTTTCTTCCGCTTTCCGTGCGCCAATTTTGCTATAGTGGAAAATCCTCTCAGTGTATTTGAATAGAGTCAAATTCCATTTCCACACTTGCAAGATGAGATTTAATCAAGTGACAGTGAATGCTTGTTAGGGATTTATAGTCGAAGGAGCAACTAAATGTCGAACAAGAAAAGTTCAATCCTCCATAGTCATTACCTCAAAATTCAACCCTCATTTTCCATGCGAGTCAAATGTGAAAGGTGTCTCTTGAATGACTTCAAGTGCCTTGTGTACGTTGAGAGGGTGAAAATTGCTCAGGGATTCTCACATGTTCTGGTGTTGAATCAATTTATTTCCAGCGCTCAAAGCTTTGAGCTTTCGGAACAACTATTTTGTCGAGGGTGAACTTTCATGGAAATTTCAGAAGCATCTCGAATTTCAGGCAAACTCCAAGAAATTCACTTACACACTCCTTGTAACTTTATATAGTTTGTCTCATCGTCTTCACCAATTCACGTTCCCTAGTGACCGCGGTCAAATAACCAAATAAATATGCAGAGAATCTGTTCTTTTTTTTCTTGCATTTCTCCTGAAAAATTCCCACTCTCGGGAAAGTTTCTCGTGCGCGACTCTGGGATAAAAAAAAATCACAGCTAGAAGGAAAATTTCTCACCTCTCCAGCATTTGAGGCATTTATCAAACTTTTCCACTAAAGACATGAGGCAAAAATGTCCCAAAGTTTCACTTTAGAGAATGTGGAAAACTTTTCATTGTCGGCATATTTTGCACCCCGAACCATTGTGACTTTTTCACTTCTTCATCATCATCCATCTGGAAAAGAGCGCAGAGAACACTTCCTCGCCCAGACTCTTGCGAAGGGATTTACACAGGAAAAGTCCTTGAAATATGCGGAACTCCATAACTTAGGCCATAGTGTCTGAAGGGATCTGGAGTAGAAAACTATTACTTAATCATTCCATGTTGCACTTTTGGGAAAGAGAAACTTTGACTCTCGCCCAGTGAAATTTTCAAGCTGAGCAAAGAAGGGATTTCTTTGAATTAAGAACACACACACACGCCTCTGTTTGTATCTGCAGAATGAATTTTCACCTATTCTTCATGACACTGGGCGAGGTGAATGCATGGCGGCAGAGCATTTCCCGCCTTTTTCATGTGCCATTCATTGTGTTTGCTTCCCTGGTAAAATCCTCCTTGTCTCTTCTATGCACACTTTCACAGTGATTTATTCCGCTTGATCCACTTCTGCCACTGACATAAATTCCTCCCTCGCCCCACTGAGTTCGTGCAAAATGAAATGAAATGCGAGCAGAGCCAGATTCCAGAGTGAATGTGGCAATTGTGTGCCACCCACATTAAGGTGGGAACACTTCCTCCAGAGATCATTAAACATATAGTCAACCGTCGAAGCTCAATCTTACTTAACAACTTTGTACTCCCAGTCAACAATGCGCCATTATCAATGAGTACAATTAGACGCCTCTGCACAGTGACAATAAATACATTAATTACATATTCAACCCATATCTGAATCTCTCAATGCGGTCCAATTCCTAACATGTTGGCGAAGGGATCACAGCATTCGCACTTGAAGGGCAGAAGGTCACCAAATGACGACAAATACGACCATAAACAGCTTCCGGCACAATCCTAGTCCCTAATCTATAAATTTCAAGTTGAGAAAGTTGCTGTTTAGTTGTGAAACACATGCCCTAGTGACTCATTTGAGGAGTGAATTTATACGCATTATCCTTCCTGGAGGATGCTAAACTTTTCCCAACCCAATCAATTACGGTCCAAAGTTGATTTAAAGTGAGACGCACCCGAAAAATACCTCTCTTTAGAAGAAAATCAGAAAGTTTTTGGGAAGCATTAAAGTATCTCCAAGCAGAATGAAAGCTTTGTAGTTTCGTGTTAAAGTTTATTTGTTGTATAGCAAATTTGATGTCTGATGTCTGCATTCTAAGTTTGAATTTCATGCTCTTTAGACGTTCGAAAATTGTACAATTAACAGTATAGATATGCAAATTTCCATTGACGTCAAAGCTCTTGAGCTAATTTTATTTCATATGATTTGAGTTTATTTTCACGCAAAAGAGTTGTGCTATCTCCATGCGAAGCACAAAAAGGCCCCAGAGACACTCAAGGTCCATTAAAAAGTGGAGATTGAGGCGCTGTGAAGATTGGCGCGCGAAGGTAATTTCGTGAAATCGTGACGGTACACGTGAATGTCCTCCTTTTGCACAATTCCACCACTATCGGCAGCCAGAAGCCATCCACAAGGGTGGATGTTGCGGTCGAGAGACGCTCAGTCTGTAATTTGACTCATAAATCGACGCCTTGATAATCCGACCGATGGGATAAATGGTGTCCACGGGGAGAAAGGACTCTTTCACCGAATGTCCTCAGTGTGGGTGGCAAAAAGCCACAAGCACATCCACC